TGTATTACAACATGTGCCTTAGAGCACTTGGCTGCTTTTGAAGACCTTTATAAGGATTTTGGTGTTTATGGATGTAGTTTATCAAGTGTAGCTTATTTAGCACATGCAGCATTTTCAGTGGCTGATCAACACTGGGATGAGATAGCCACAAAATTAGTATTGCTGAATTAGTACTTGGTCACCTGTGTATATAAGCTAGCAGAAAAGCAAAACTTAGTATTACCAAATGTAATCAAATGCTTGTTATTAATGAACATTTTTAAAAATGAAGACTTGTAAACAGTTATGTATTTGAAATAGAAACAGAGGCAGTAAAAGCTAAATGTTTTCTCCCCTGCTTTCCCTCCATCCACCTCTTTTCTTAAGGAATATTTTTCGCCTCTGAAGCTCTATTAGCTATACATATTTATAAGACATCCAAGAAGAGTGTGATTCTTTGATTAATGTTTCTAGGACCAGAAGGACAGCCAGCACACACACACACACAAGAAAATTCGTAACTTTTTTGTACTGATGTAATAGTTCTGTAATGTTTGATCTGTGTATGCACTAAAAGTAAATGTAGAATGTCACGCTGAAAGTATCTTGCTGTCAATGGATCATGAATGTCAGCCTTGACAGGTATCCTCTGGTGAGGATATGTGCATATATATAGCATTATAAAGCATATGTGGCTTATTTTAAGGAAAGCTGTCCATACCTTTGTCTTGCCTTGTTGAAATATTTCTACTTTCTTCCTAGTGGCTGTCACTTCGTTTTTGTCATCCTTAAGCTGAGAAGTAACTTGTAAAATCTTGTTGCCTGGTTTTAATAATTTTTACCCTTGCAAACTTCTAAAAGCCATTACATCTGCCTCAAAAGATACATTATATTTTTACTGATATCTGTAGAAGAAATTACTCCTTTTTTTTGGTGTTCTTGTTCATAAATTCCATTTATTGCAAACTTTGCACATCAGGTTTTGTGTATCTTCTCTACTTTTAAGCCCAAATCTCTCAAAGATTTGGCTTATTCTGTGACTGCATATGGCTTATTGTGTGACTTTCTATGGAACTTCTCAATTGCCAAGTTAAATGTGTGCTTCAGTTCTTGCAGGGTCCAAGTCTAGCTCTTTTTTTAAAAGCATGCTGGTAGAGATGCTTGCCAGCACTTGAGGATCCCTGAAAGAAAAACAGGTGGTATTTTTGCTTGCTTCTGTTTGCCGGCTTCCAGTCTGTCGTATAAAACAAGCAGCTAACGTGCTATTGACGATGTGTCAAGGGGAAAAAAAAATCAGATAAGTAAATAGAATCTTAAGAGTCAGGTAACCGGATTCCATTGATATTTTGCCATTTAAGAAGTAAATAATTCCAGTAAAACTTTTACTGTTGTTTCATCATGATCATGCATGCATTCTGCTACATCTTGCCAAAAGGAAAATGTCCATGTTAGGTGTAATTTGCATTTGCCTGGTTTTTTTTATGGGTTTCTCTCTAATTTTGTGAGTATGTTAATATATCAACAATTAGGAGATAAACGCCCATGAAGTGCAGGCATATTAAAGTAAAAGATGAAGCAATCCAGAGAAAACAAGTTTACCACACCATGTTGGCATCCATTTTTAACAGGAAAAGTCACATGTGATGTAATAAAGAATTAGAACATTTTTCATTTTGCCAATCCTATATTTGACAGAGAGGCATCAGCAAAAAGTGCACCAAAACAAAGTCTCTGAGAAGTCTCTGAAATCTCTCTCTCCCTGGAATGTAGGTCAGAACTTACGGGGACCTGAGTAAATAAATGTGGGGAAAGAGGATTTGGAAATACAAAAGTATATAAAAATAGAATATGACCCACCCTTAAAGGAAAGGAAATAATTTTATGTGTTTGTTATTAATTACTTCCTATTTAGAGGAAAGAAGAGCAGCCATAGAGGGTCAAGTATATAGCTTGACATAACTTGAGAAGTGAGTGACTTCCAGGCCATGATGTAAACATAAAGTTTGAAGTCTGTCTGTTGCCTCAGCCCTTCCATCAGTGGGGTCAAAATCAGGAGAGGTTTTGTTGTTGACCATTGCAGAGATTCTCTCCTAAGCAGAAAGAGTGACTATTTTTCTGTGGTAAATAGTGCTTGCATGACAGCTAGGATTTGACTGACTCTTGTGTTGTAAAATGATTCACAATTTATTAAAACAACCTAATGAACGTCCCTTGAATTCCTGAAGCTGAGTGTACATTTTTATTTTAGCACTAATGAGCTTTGATAAATTAATTTTAGTGATGAGAGTTTAATACCTAGCCTTCATGCAAGGAAAACAAAAATTATTTATGAGCTCAGCTGTGGTGAAGAGGTGTAAGGTACTGAGAGCCCCTTAGGAATTTGCAAGGTGCCTGGCTCTGTGCTTGCCAAACTCAGCACAGAGTTTAGGCAGGGTCTCAGGGGTGATGGAGAGCACATGTAAAATACACCTAAGTCCTGTGAAGTCTTCCCTTACTCAGCCTTTTAATGGCAGCAGACAGAGAGGTGCCAGCTCGAAAGGTGGTACTGTTGTTGGAATAGCCCTGAGGCTTCAGCTGAGCTTTGTAAAGAAGGATCATGGAGCACTTCTCAAGTGTTAATTTAGTTTCACACTAACAAGGTAGAAGGCTACTAGTAGTACTCATCATACTGAGGACTGATTGTAGACAGAAGCCGTAGGATTAGCTCATGGACATGAGTACATGAGTGGTGAGGGCTGGAGTAGCTCTCCCTGTTGTACTGTAGTGTATTTATCCTGCTCAGAAATAGGCCACATGCTTTGTTGACTGCAGTAATAGGCAGATCTGTATCACTTAGCAATCTCTGAACGAATCTCTGCTGCCCACGGGAGCTGAAGTTCCTGCTTGAACATTAACTCATGATTTGTGTGTGAAAATACCCCAAACAAAAGCAAATGGTGGTTCAGCACTTTAGGAAGAGAGACAGATGGAGAGCACAGTGCAGTGTGGTACATTGCAGAGGTCACAGTGGGATAAAAACAATTTCAAACATACATTTCCTGATACTGGATTGTGGCTTAATTTTCCACACTTTAATGGGATTTTTTAAGACAAAATGATTCATGTGTTTGGATCTGTTTTTTGCAAGTCAGGATGGATGAAAATTTAGGTAAAATGGTGCATGGTTATGTGCTGTATAAAACTCCCTGTAGCCTACAGAAGTTGGTTACAGAAAATGAACAGAGGAGTGGGTGATACGAAATCAAAGTTTCAGTAGTTTTCTAGGCGGATATGGATACTGAAGTTTGTCACTTAATGGGACAAAGTTACTACAAAGTTACAGCATTTCCTTTGTGAGTAGGGGGGCAGATATGCTGACAAGTGGGGAAAATCTAACAAACTTCAATATACGTCCAGGAAAATGCTATTTTAAAATGTAGGTTAAAATTTGTGAACCTCCTTCCTTCAGGCTTCAGTTGTTCCTCCAGTAAGCACATCTGCTTACTTCAGACACAGTAAGTGGTGTCTGAAGGTCCTTCAGCTTTCTGCACTCCTGAAGTCTGCAGGGGAAGCAGCTGCTTATGCATGTTTCTGGTGCCAGCAAGGACACATTGCCAAAATGCTGGTGAAGTTAACCAACAAGAAACACCTGGAAGAGACCATCCAAAACCAGAACTAGTGCTCACTAAATGTAGGAATGTGGCTGGAGTGGTGCAAGATGGTTCTTGGGGGGCATTTGCCCCAGAGGTGGCACAGTGGCTCGGGCAGCTGGTCTGAGTGCAAGTGTGGCAGCTTTCTTGTGTGGCCCTGCAGGCTGAAACATTAGTGTTGCACCAGGCATCTTACAGAAAGCAGCATCCTAAAATGCACTGTGGCCTTGCAATTAGAAGGTTTGATTTTTTCTGTGCCCATTTCCTGAGGGTCAGCAACACAGCCTCTTCTGGCTTTGCCTATGGGACCAGGGCTTATGCTGGTACTTTATCCTGCTGGTGAGAAACTCATGTAAGACTACATCAAATTTATTGGCTTTATTGGATAAGATGTATCTGGCTAACCACTCTTAAGTTTGTTTTGATGTTTGTGTTATTTTCTTGGAAAGCTAGCCATGCTCCTGTCAGGATTGCCACTGATACTGCACTATGCTAACAGAAGGCTACAAGGGACCAGGCTCTGTGCTAGGAGCACTTGCTGTGTGCTTCAGTACTTTGATGTAATGTGCTGGTTTTATTTGTTTATATATATTAATTTGTCCCTTAGCCTTAGTTGGGTAGCACATCTCTTAAGTCAACCCTTAAACTGATACTTTGGATATGTTAAGCATGTAATTTTTTAAGAGGTAGTTCTGAGGTATTTTTTAGATACGGACACACACACAACTAAATATGATTTGTCTTCTGCATGCACTTGGCTCAGCACGTGGTTTTTGTTTCCTGTGCAGTACTTTGAAAATGTCAGCATAACTATCTCTGGTTGTTTGCTTCAAATCTGTTTATTAAAATTCACTTATCTTCGGGACTCAGATTTCCCTATTGCACCTTTTAATGGCACTGGACAAATCCTAGCTCATAGTATCATGGGGCTCTGTATCAATAGGTGTATACAAGTGCATTAACACATGAGTGTATGGTGATATGTTCCACTGTGAGAAAGAGGGATGTCCTGACATTGACATTTGTAGTGGCAAAATATGAAAAGCTGCAGTGGATATATGTGTGAGAGAGCTGTGGAGTCACTCACTTGGCTAGTGAAGGACTACTCTGCCATCCTTCAGACAGGGGCACATTTGAGAGCTGGCTTAGCTGGCATCCTTACTTCGTGCTCTTAAATTGTGTATTGGTAGTTACTCTCGGCATTACATGGAAGTGTTAAGAATGCATAAAGTACATCCGTGCTTATGTCGATAATTGGAATAAGTCTCTATCTGATATCTTGCCAGAAAATTCTGAGAGTCTTGCATTGGTGCCTCATATATTTGCCACTGGTTTGATGGTCATTTATGCCTAAGGGTTTGTTGTGAATTTATCAATATTTTTGCATGACAGGTCACAGTAATGAAAGGCAGTAGTAGGAATAAGGATCACTCAACAGAAGGTGAAGGAACTGGGAAGCGACCAAAAAGGAAGTGTCTTCAGTGGCATCCCCTGCTGGCCAAGAAACTCCTTGACTTCTCTGAAGAGGAAGAAGAGGAAGAAGAAGAGGAAGATATTGATAAGGTAGATTTAATTGGATGCTTTGACCTAAGATGGTTAATGATAGATGAGATTCTCCCTAGCTGTGTTCTATATTTGGTGTTGTCTTGTTCTCTTCTGTGAAGAAACAGCCAATAAAAATGGATGCAAAGCCGTGCCCATAAGGTTGTAAAGACAAGAAAGTGAGTTGTTAATCATGCCTTTAAAATAGTGGACAATTTTTTGTAGATTGGAATAGTTTTATCTGCTTTGTATTAATAATGTGTTGCACATCCTAATCTTGATTACTCTAAGTGGGTTTTTGATGTTCTTTTTTTTTTTTTAATTGCTTATTTTACACATGACTTTGGCTTGTGCCTGGTATCTGCTTCTAGTGACTCTAAAGAGCATACCAAACTAAAAGTTTTCATTCTTCTTTGTTTAAGATTAAAACTGCAAAGATTAAAAAGGGAAAAAGAAGGAAAAGGCTGAATACAATTTTTACCATCTTTGCATGTGAAATTCAATTTATCCTCCAGAGTACTGAGTGTACAGCAGAAGTAATCTGTCTGTGGTTTGACACTTGGTGTTTTGGTATTGTTCAATGACGCTGACCTTACCCTTTTTTAATGCCATGTGGCACCTCACACTTTTCCAGTTAAACTCATTCTCTGTAACAAGAAGTGGGAACTGTTTCTGCAGATGTGATGATTCCATCATGTGAATGGCATTCATATCTGTTTCTCCTTGGTGCCTTCCTAAGGCAGGAATGGAAAGGTCAGTGTTGAGGAGACTGCCTTGAGCCATACACTGAGAGGGTGACTCTGACAAGGATAAGCAAGAGCCTGATTCTCTGATGGTGCTTTCTGTTGATCTTACCGGTCCTTTCACAGCATGGTATAAAATAGCAGCATTGCAGTTAGGTAGGAGGTGGATTTTGTCTCATGCAGTAAGTTCTGTGGCTCCTCCCTTGTAGGAATACTAAGCTGGCCTGTAAGTGGAGAAAGCACGTTTTGGCAGCGTACTCTGTTGAGATGTGCCCTCTGCCTCTGCTAGGCAGCTTTGTGGTGGCTGCACTGCTGTGCTGCCCACAGGTTGAGCAGTAAGCAGCAGGAGATGGGGAAAAGCAATGGACAAACTAACACACTGTTAAGCTGTTCCTCCTTGTGTGCTCTGTAGTTGTGAACATGAATAACTGAGGTCCAAGGTACCTCTGGTTGCCTCATCCCCCTTAGATGATTTCTAGGTTGTTAGAAGGGGAGAGTAGGAAGGATCTTGTCCCTCCAATTCCTTTAGGACTGTTAGTAGAGAATGATCCTCAGCTTAGAAATTTTTCCACCTGGAAGTTGGTGTTAAGTCTTGCAGAGAGCATGAATGAACCTGGGACCATCGGGTGAGGAGGTTTGATGTAGAGCTCTGCACTGTCTGGATGCAACAGACAGCCTCTGGAGACAGCTGTGTGCATCCATGTGCCTCTCCCTCGCTCCCAGGCAGCGCACACAGTCCCAGTCTTTGTGCAAAACGCGGATAACTGAGCTCACACCGCTTCCCTTTCGGTTCTGCCAGGTGCCGCTCCTTGGCCCTGATGGTTTAGAGCAGGATGCTGATGAGACTGAAGATGACGAGTCCTCAGAGCAGCGAGCTCGCCGACCAATGAATGCGTTTCTCTTGTTCTGCAAACGGCACCGCTCTCTTGTGCGGAAAGAACACCCTCGCCTCGATAATCGTGGCGCAACCAAGATCTTGGCAGATTGGTGGTCTGTTCTAGATCCAAAAGAAAAACAGAAATACACTGACATGGCCAAGGAGGTATGTTCTGTCTGAATGGTGGATGTAAAGGGACTTCATTACGTATTGTCTTCTTTTTCTCTGTGTATTGAATGTTTTCTGTGGGATCTTTCTCTTCCCTCTGTTCCTCAGCTTCACCATGGGATTATGGTGCCCAGAGCAGCTCCTGTTCTTGCTTTAATTCACTTGATCCTTTGGACCAGAAGGGAAAGCAATTGGTCTGTGTACACAAACTAACCTGGTTCCAGTAGTCATTGTTGTAATTATATGCACTTTGTGATTGTATGGCCTGATAATTTCTGCAGTACAAACATTAACACAAGGATAGTGAGCATTGTAAACACTAACATTCAGTTCCGTGTCAGCTGACTAGTGATACTTACCTGTGCATTCTCTATTGGTGATGCCAGCTACTGGTGGACCAAACCAATGGCAGAGTCAAGAAGTGTAGCTTCTTTTTACCTTTAATGCTAATGAATTAAAAAATTACTAGTGTTTCTTGAAGTACATTCCCCATTAACCAGTTTCTGATGAAGCAAGATTTGGTAAGCTCAATACCAAGTTAGAGAGCAGTGCCTAATCAGAATACATTGACCAGGAGCAAGGAAAGGAGATTTATCCCTGTATTTCACCAAGTATCTTTATGTCAACTTAAAATTCAAATGAACCTTTTTAAGAAATAGCTTTCTTGATGAGCTGTTGCCAAGAAGGTTGTGGTTATTGATAGTAGAGTGAGAAAAACAGAGCCAATTACTTAGGCTGATAACCTGACCCCAAATCAGATCCTTGTGACTACCTGTATGATACAGATTGTGGGTAACCTTTGAATTCAATCTTAATAAAAATAAAGGAACAGCAGTGAGAAGGAAAAAAATCTCTCTCCTTTTTTTGAGTATTTTTTTGCTAACACACTGTAGAAACTATAGATGGCTGTGAAATGATTGATATTACCCATGCCTGCCCTGGGATCTGAAGGTGTCTGCTATTGTTAACAGGCTGTAAGGTCTGATTCTTCAGTAACTGATGTAAACATGGAAAGGTCCACAAGAAAAACAGTGTTTAGCATGGCAGGTCCTTTTTAAGCAGGGTCTGTAGGACCTCTGTAGTTTCTCATCTGGGGCACAGTATAGAAACACTCGAGTCTCAGCTTTGTCCAACCACTCCAGTTTCATTCTGCATTCCCTGCTTACGAATTAGCGATATTTCTCTAAATGTCTGGAGAAAGGGCAATTAGAAGATTCAGTACAAATGCAGAAAAAGGAAAGATGAGAATAAAGAAATAAGTTTTGGAAGAAACAAACCCAATGCGACTGTTTTTCTTAGCCTTTTGTCTTGCTGAAGGAAACTTGTTCATTAAGAAGGAAAATAATTGCAGAACTTCTGTATGAAGTGACAGATCTGAAACCATTAATCATATTGTTATAGAAATCATTGTTCTTGTAGTGATTTTTTTTTGGCATGAAGAACAAATTGAATATTCAATGTCAAAGCAGAACAATAAATCTAAGTAGTTTACATCATTGTAAGTAGTACTAAGACTACGAACTAGAAGAGAGATAGCATATAATTTTTATTCTTTAAACAGCAGCTATAATGTGCTATTGAATCCATTTGGGCCTTCTTCACCAACAAGCCTATTCTGTGTGCCAGGATTGGTACTTTTATTGTAACACTTGCTTTTCACAGAACCACAGAATGGTTGGGGGTGGAAGGTGGGGGTCTCTGGAGATCATCTTGTCCAACCCACTGCTCAAGCAGGTTCACCTCTAGGTAGGCTTACTGCTGAGACTGTCAAAAAGAGGTTAATGTCAACTGTAGTGAGAACCACCTGTTGGTCCTTTGCTTTTTCCTAAAGAGAATTTATTTAAAAATCAAGGTGAGTGTCTTTGAAAGAAAATAAAAATACCATTGTACCAATGGTCTTCTGTTTGAGTACCTATATAAGCTCCATGAGATTTAAGATACAGTGAGTAATCTGTTGCTTAAATGTAGGTTTTCAGTGTCCTTTGACTTTCCCTGCACAGCCTGTAGCCACTGTCCTGGCTGGACACACATCTTCCAGAGAACCCTCTGTCATATCTGCTATCCCTACAATGTTTCTTGTATACCCTGAGCATCCAAACCACTCCTGCAGAGACACATGTGGGCCTTACAGAAGTGGTCCTTCCTGCAGTGGCTACAGTCCTTGCTCTTCTACAGTCTCTAGAATGGTTTTTTTTATTACTTGTTGCTATAGCTCCCAAAATCATTTAGGTGAGATCACATGCCATGCAAGAAGCTTTCAGTTTCTTGCCTGCTTAAGACTAGCAGCGATATTACCTCAGCAGTATGCATGTAAAGGCACTTGTATATTTACTTATATGTGTGTAGCTGTTTGCAAGATGTATCATTTTGGGAGATAGTGAGGCACCCAAACTTTTTGCTGGCTGGAATTATGAGAAGTTTCCTAGTAGGTAAGGTACCTTGGGGTACCTTAATCATCAGGAAAAACTGGCCCCACACTCTCTCTATTTTCCATCTTGTGGTTTCTGGTCTCTTGCAGCAACAACTGCCCTGGAGACCTGGTGCTGCACCTGCAGAGCTTGATGTCTGCTTTTGCTGGTGTCACTTTATTAGTAGGCTTTCTGTTTCTATCCTGCAGGCTTCCTAGATGAGCTTAAGTTTGAAAGTTTCACTGTCTAGGATATAATCCCAGTAGTTGATACATACTCAAAAAGGAACCAGAAGTGTTGCTGTATGTTTTAGCATTTTCCTTCATTGAGAGAAATTAATCTGACCACTCATAAATATGCACCAGCATTTTTATTGGCTTCGGTAATAAGGGTAGTGTTCTTCTGTTAACTCTTACAGGACTTCCTGGGAGTGTTCAGCTGCCTTAGGAAGTATCTGGTGAGATTGTTACTGTTCAAGCCCTATTCCCTTGCTAGAAAACTCTTCATTTTTAAATATGTCTTTGTACCAGCAAGATCCAGGCAGTCAGGATTGTTTCCTGTAGGGAGCAGCCTGATAAATGTGATTAGACATTGGAGTGGACTGTCCCAGAAGTTGGTGGAGTCACCAGCCCTGAAGGTGTTTAAGGAATGACTGGACATGGCTCTGTGTTACGGTGTAACTGGCATTGTGTGTTGGTCCATAGGCTGAACTCAGTGATCTCAGAGGTCTTTTCCAGCCTCGCTGACTGTGTGATCCTGCTGCCATTCAGTGGCTGAGCTGAGCACTTCTCCCTGCTGCTCCTTGGCCAGTGGTGTCTCAGGCCCAGTCAGCCACACTGGGAGCTTGCTGGTCTTGTAGTGCCACTGCTTTGGCACCTCCTCAGGGTAGGAGGGGACAAATGTCCTGGCTTGCTGGCTGGAGTTTGGTAAGGCCAGTGGCTGACATATGGACTATAACATGTAATGCAAACCCTGCATCCTTCAGGAGTGAAAAATGGAGTGCTATATTTTCTAGGGAATTTTTTTTTATGTTAGGTCTCTGGGATTCATGTGACATTTAATAGCATGCGTTTAAAATTAAACACGTGCTAACAGCTAGCCTGAGGTGTAGCTGAAATCCACTTGTGAGCTCCTGTTCCTACCACAAATAGAGGAAGCAAATCTTTTTTTATTTGGTGATGAAAGCATCTTGGGGAGTTTTAACCTCAGTTCTGAAGGGGCACCAGTCCTGCTGCATAATATAACATTCTCCAGGCTTTCACAAAACAGAAATAAGGCATCAGACCAATCCCACAAACACTTCTTGTTCTGTTTCTTACCTGAAACTTCAGAACATGACACTGCTGGGCAGGCCCTGCCATTTGCTGTGGAAAGCAAGGTGTTGTCTTTCATTCCAGGTTAGGTACTTATGTTTGGGTTGGGGTTTTTTGTAGTTTTCGTTGGTTGGTTTGGTTTGCTTGTGTTTTGGGGTTTTTTAATCAATTTTAGACATCTGCTTAGACTGCTGTGTTAAGTTGCACAGTTGGTGAAAGGGAGGAAAGCAGTAGATAACACTGTGGTCTTTGACTTTCTCTTGTTACTTTGTAGCTCATTTAATTTATCTTCTCATGACCTGGTAAGCAAAATCTGTTTGGTTTGGGCCTTGGTCTAGTAGTCACAAAAGTCAATACCAAAAGGGTTTTTAAGATTTGGATCAGGCCCCTGTATGCATTTATATAAAGTACTTCTTGGCCATTGTTTAACTTTTTAAATATTCTCTCTTTTTTATGTGTTGAAACTGAACAGTTTCCATGAGTTGTCCTCCCTCAGGTTGCTCCTTTGCCTTCAGAGACTGCAGTTAATGTTCACTTCTTGGCTTTGCAGAGAAAAAAAAAAGACATTAATAGACCAGCTCACTTGAATTACTCTCGTTGAAAACTGATTAAAAGCTTATTGCAGCCTCGTCTCACAAATGGCATGCATCCTAGTTCTCATTTGATGGGCAGCCTGTCGGCTTGTCAAATTACTCAATAGAATAATTCAATTACTCAAAGCAGCATTGCTGATATGAAGAGCTTATGTAGCTCATTGCTAGCGACTCTATGCTTTTCACTCTGCAGGCTGGTAACATGATTTGTGAGTGGGCTGTGGCTTTAACAATGGAAGGCAAAGCTGCTTTGTCGTGTATTTCCTTTCCTCCTCTTCCCTTACCCTCCCCTTCCTATCCCTTCCCTCCACCAGGCTATTTTTGTGGTGTACTGAGCTCCCAAAGCAAACCGAGGGAAAGGGAAAAGGAGTGAGGCGAGCAGTGTTGCAGTCTTTACTTTGCAGATTTAATACATACACCCTATTCAGAAAATACAGCGTGTATGTGGGTCAGTGATCCCTGCAGATTTTTATTATTTATAGCCATTCCTATAAATACAGGACTTCCCACAGCAGGGTTCACGCAGTGCCGTGTTTCTTGTAAACTGAAACGTTTTTATCTCTGCTACGGTCTGGAGGTAGCAAGTGCCAGCTCAAAGGTGAAGATAGAAATGAAAGAAAGCAGTAAACCTGCAATGGTGACCCTGCCACAAGGCAGACTGTTCAGCTGGGAAAACACTGTAGTGGCTCTAGCAGAGGACAAGGCTTTCAGTGCTATTTCTGTATTTGATGCCCAAGGGATTTTTTTTCCTCTCTATGTTTCTGTGCATGCATGTGCATGGAACATAGGTGCTTGTCTGTGCCATGACCGGGACTGATGGCAGCTGTGTGGGTGAGAATGTGTAATCACAGAACAAGCTTCCTGCATCTGCTCTGCCATGTGCTTCCAAGCACAAAGAGCCGCTCTTCTGGTCTTGTGCTGCCCCTGGGAGCTACCCAGTCATGAAGGGGTGTTGGGTTCCTTCTCCCTGTGGTGAGCACTGGTGCTGGCTGGGTAGGCTCCCACAGCAGCAAGTGCTGTACACCCCTATCAGTTGTTAGGCAAACATCTGCAGCTGGAATGTGTGGCATGTTCCTCTGATTTGCCAGTTCTCAATCTTGCATAGCAGCACATGTAAAATACTGAAATGCGGTTTTCTGTTACTGTTAATGTTCAAAAATCTTGGTTTAATGTTGATGTTTTGTTTTGTGAATAAAATAGATCCTGGTCCTTTCCCCCACCCCCCAAACTGCGGGATCCAAACCCTTTCTCCCACTGCCCATGTGTAGTTTGGCTTCCTTTGTTTCGCTGCCTCATACCAAAAACACAGCAAACAACTGAGATGTGTGCTGGGTGCTCAAGGCCAAAGAATGTTTTAAATGGTCACAGTTTGTTTTATGCAGCCATACAGCGAGGTACATTTTGGAAGGAACACTGGGATGGTGTTATCACAAGATACTGAATATGACATTGTACTGGTTGCAATTTGTTTTTGGTGCCTGGTTTGGGAAAGCATATACTCATTTTCTAAAATACAGAACTATTCAAGAAGAATTAGTGCAAGTTAAGGCATCATGCTGCATTTATTGCTAAATGTGTGTTTTTATTTAATTCAAACTAGAAAGAAAACCTGCAAAGAATTCAAGTAGCTGTTTCTCAGAGCATGAGCATACAAGCACTGGGGAGCAGTTGGCAGGATCAGAACTTCAGCCTGCTCTGGGTAATAGACCCTCAGGAGAGAAAAGAGAAAACCTACTTTTTAGATACAACTCTCCTTATCTTAATACTTCTTCTTAGCAAATTGTGTTGGTGGTTGGACTCTAAGCATGTGATTAAACTGTTAAAAAATCAAGATATTTAAGGATTAGTTACTGTATTAAATCCTCTTACATGCAGTGTGCTCCGGTTGCCCGGTGTAGAGTATAATGTAATGACTGGTAATTTCTCTTTTCTTTTCTAGTACAAGGATGCATTTATGAAAGCAAACCCAGGGTACAAGTGGTGCCCCACAACCAACAAACCTGTGAAAACCCAGGCATCCAGTGTTACAAACAGGAAAAAGCTATGGGCCATTGCATCAGACTCTGCAAAAGACTTACCGAGCCCAAGGAAAGTTACCAAAAGTGAAGAAATGCCACAACTTAACTTTGGGATGGCAGGTGAGATCTGGGGATATGGTATTGAAACTGAATTGGGATACCTAATTTCTTTAATACACATGGTCCTGTAGTGTCCCAGATTAAGTTGCCAAAACTGTAGTTAAACCTCTGTGTATCAGTTTTCTAAAATTTTCCATAGTGCATGATTTTTTTTCAAAATGTGAGGCATCCTAACTCTTACCCCCTGTAGGGCCCAGATTTGATTGATTTTTTGATTCCAGTTTATCTGCTGTCAGAGACTTCAATTCTCTGGTTACTCTGGTTAAAAGGGAAAGTGCTGATTGTGTGCGTTGTGTTTCTCTATCATAGAATGCTGTACTCTTTTAAGTAATTTACTCTTTGCAAAAAAAAAAATTATGGGTGTCTCAAGTCGGTTATGATAATCTTGTAGATTAATGTTCCAGTGGGGCTAACACTTTGGTATTTTCATCAAGAGAAGCATAATTTAATTTCACTTAAATGTGCTCTTTTGCCCATTATATCTCAGAGGAGCAAATTCTAAACTTCTAAACATTTGGAAAAAAAATAAAAAAAGAAATATGTGAAGAAGTATAGGTGGAGTGCCTGAGCTGGTGAAAAGCAGATAATCTCTAACTGATATCCATAAATAGCAGAACTGTTGTAATCATGACCTTGAAATACAGGGACATTAATGTTAAATACTGGTAGCTTAAGAACCTAGCAGTCAATGTTAAAAAAAAAATAGAAATTCCCTGCCATTGTTTTTTCCTTTTGTTTCCCTTGGGGGTTTTTGGTTTTGGGGTCTTTTTTGTTTGGTTGGTTGGTTTATTTTTTTGCTTGTTTAAAGTTTCAGATGCATCAGTAGTTATAAAATTAGAAACTTTGTCATATCCTACCTGGTTTATGACAGGTGTGTAGCAGATAGGACTTCTCTGCTTAGAGAGATTGCAAGCTGGAGAGTTTTATGGAGCAAGTTTAAAAGAATGAAAAGGAATAAAGAGGCATGTATATCTTAGTATAGTACTATGAAATGCCTGTAATGAAATTTCTTCTGGCTCTTAAGGAACTGTGAAATGTGATCAAAATAAGTGTTTCATGCTGCATAGTTCTGGTATATGGGAGAGCAGTTCGAAAAATCACAAGCCCCTTCAGACCATTCTGCTTTTGCTGTTAGAGGAGTCATTTCTATGCTCCTTAAATATTTATTGACTTAACACAAAGAACAAGTAACAAGCCTTAATCTACCTCTCATCCATCCCCCAGTGGTCCTGCTGGGCTATCCTAATGTCAAGTTTTTGTGCACAGAGGTCTTGAATCAACACCTGTCAGAGTAGGGGACAGAGAAATTAAGAATTAATTAGAAACTAATCCATTTTTCTATTTATAGAGCCATTTATATCTGAAAAAAGTCCTTTAGTGCTACCTGTGATAGTTTGTTTGGTTTTTTTTCCTGCAGGCTGAGACAATGAGCATAGTAATTCATGGGATCTTGCTCCAATCCTCATGCCAGTGAAGGCTGGCAATATCTTGGGTATAAGAATACCCTATAAAATAAAGACAGCTTCTGACAGAGATGTTAGCAGCATCCACATCATGACAAGGGTGCCATGCCAAATGGATTACAGCTTTGTCAACTATACACCAGTCTATGCTATATATGTTTATTGGGCTGTTCTCTGCTTGACTTCAGATGATAGTTCAATTCAACTCTCACTCTTCTCCCCAGTACAATCTCTTTAAAATCCAGCCTGTATACTATCTGATGAACTGAAATGTAGCTGAACCACCTCAAAAACACGTTTACCTTTGAAATGCCACTGATTCACTTGTATCTTCAAGGCAGGTAACTTCCTCAAGACAGGGTTTATACGAGTCTAGAATCATGCCAGGAAATCTGTTTTGTTTGTTGGTCATTGCTAATCATGTCTTGATTGCTTTTTGTGTACTATATTTTACTTCGGAAGACCTAATATGTAGACAGTAAGATCTTTGTTTCTGTAACTCCTATACAAGTTGTTTCTGTCCTTTTTTTTTTGGCTTTACAAAAATAACCATGCCACATTTAAGTTTGTTGTGCTGACCTACATTATATCAAGAAGCTGAGGTATGGCACCAGCATTGGGCTTCTGACCTGCAGACCCACTAGTGATCATCCAGCTGGGAAGCTGTAATTGAGTATGTTTTTCTCATTATATGGCTCACCTGTGTAGGATGTGGGGCAAAGAACACTGCTGTTTGCAAAAGCTTTGCCATGCAAATGTGTGAGATTTGCAGTACTTGCATATTTTGCTTCAGAAGAAAACCATCCATGCCAAAATGCTTTTTAGTGAGGCAAAGGCTGGAAGAAAGACACTTTTAGAGTAGGCTATATCCCTATAGAAACACAGTTTGTTTTTCAGAAAAAAGCTCAATTATGCACCCAGGTAAAAGTTGGTTGAAGCTAGTTCCTGCTGGCCTTCTTCCTGCTTAGTACTTCCTCAGTTTGTTGTTTCCTCTGACAGAGAAATGATGAACAAGCCAACCTTCTGAGTCTGTAACCAGCCCAGTACTAACAAAGTATGTCATTCCCAAACAGAGAGATGGTTTTAAGTTTCATCAGTATTAAAAGCTGTTGAGAAAGTCACGAATCGCCTGCCATTCTGCAAGTCAAATGTATGTGCTCTTTTCCCAGTACTGTTGATTTAAGAATAAATTCTGTAAAATGCCCCTTAAAATTCTTCTACATACCAGTAAGCTCCTAGTGCCAGAAGAGAATATTATTGTGCTGAGAAGGCACTATAAGCATAAACTATAAACTTTGGTTTCTAATTCATCTGTCATTTTTTCCTTCCTCCTAATTTTTATATTTAAATGAACAGTTTAAGTATTTGCTTACTTAGGGAGAAAAACACTAAACCACACTTCCATCTTTATTCTCTTATGATAAGCTACTTAGTTGAAAGGCAGAAAGCCAAAACTACCAAGAAGATATTTAGAATACAGGCAAGAATTTTCCAGTTGTAAACTGGGTGTTCTTGAGATGGCCAAAGCTGGGGAGGGGGAAAAGGACCAACAGGTAAGGAAAATAAAGCACAAAAGAGCATCTGGGAGTCATCAGGGGGATGCAGGCATGAGAAAGTGCTATACTGCAGTTTGTCAGGCAGAGTGGTTTCAGGACCCCCCTCATCTGATGTGATTGCACTGCTGGTCATCCATATACAAGAAAGACAAGCTGCACCTGGGATAACTGCAGAGGAGAGCTGTAGGAATTGCTGAAATTATGGGCGATGGATGTGCTTTATAACATTGGGAGATCTTGAATTGTTTAGACCATGAAAACAAGTGGAAGAAGAGTAGGAAAAGTCCTGTAAATGCAGAAAAGGGAGATACTGTTTAGGGAAACAGGTACTAATCTTAGAGATGCGAGTACCAGAAAAACATGTACTACCTGGCCTTGAGGATATTTAAGCTAAAACCTGGAAGAAAGCCCTTAATGCTTAGAAGATTTTTATCCTGCAAACATCTTCCAAAGGGAGTAAAGAAACTAGAAAACAACCAGCCAAGGCCTTACTGTTTACTATGGGGCTCAGTAAGTTTATGGAGGACCTGGAGATCTCTTCCAGTCTCTCCTTCCTCCAAATCAACTGCCTGCTCAGGCATTATCTTCCAAGATATGTGTTAACTTTTCTCTTCCTAATTGCTCTGATGTCTTCTGGTTTGAAGGACTGAATGGTTTCTGATCAGCTGCTTGGATGGCAAAAAGTGTTGCTGCTGATAGGATCACTTCACTTATGAATTGTGTTTAGATACCTACTGGTCCTTCACATTTTCTGTGTCTTTTCCTTTTACTAGATCCTACACTTCTGATAGTGCCTTGTCTTTTCATAGAAGTGTGATTTTTTTCCCCCCTTTTTAATTTAAAAAGGCAAACTTCTTCAAAAAACCTAAAACCTCTAAAACACATGTGTATTATGTGTTTATTGTGGTGAAGGAAAAAGTTAATTCCAGTTGAATACTGGGTTTGAAGCTAGGTGCTATTTAGGATGCCTGTTTAATACTGTTTAATAATATGCCACTCTTCTATCCATGACGTAGTGAATGAGCCTGGTTTATTTACATTGTTTTCCTCTGTTTCTATTTAATACCCTTCTAAAAGACTATTGGAAAAACTTATCTTGGGAATGTCAGTGAGAGATGTTCTGTGCACGAAAACTTTGGGCAGCATCTGTGATATTGAATTAAACAGCATTGATGAGTATTCCCATGAATTGGACTGTGATCATCTGCAGCCCTAAACTGTTTGGAGGTTTACAGGTACAGGTTTGGCCCATGTCAGCTAAAAGATTTTAAAAATCCACTCACATTGTGGCTGTTGCATGAGACATTTGGCTACTGTGTCTCCCTGTGTCTACATGACAGTGTTAAATCAGGCGCCTGCATTGCTCCCAAGGCATTCTCCCAAAATCAGGCAATTAGTCTTCATAGTGATGAAGAGCAACCACTGTTCTGAGTGGAAAAGCTACTCCATGAGTAATGCACTGTCAGAGTTTATTGCTTTCACTTCTTGTCATTTTCTGAGCTCCTGAGGTGCAGGAAGGCCAGAGGGAAAAAGCTGTCAGTACCAAATACTTGGAGAAAGAGCATTTATATCTCCATTTTACATTCCTCAGTTATGTATTGTATTGGCAGGGCAACAAGTAGGCAGGCAGCTTGCCTGGCCAGTGCTTGTGCTGTTCTGGCTTCATGCTTCAGAGCTGTCAGGCTGGCACTTTTCACCACTAAATACAGCTCTAAATTATAGCAAATGAAAATAGAAATTTTACTTCAGAGCTTGATTGGGTTGTTTTGTTCCATTCTTTTATTTGTTCAGTTGCCAAGGAAGGAACCGCTCCCTTGGTAGGCGCATCCACCAACTTATAAACCTGTGCATTATTAGAGCATCTTTGTGTATATTTATGTGTGAGATCATTACAGTTGCTGTTTTAAAGATATTCATCTCTGTAGTACATAAAACCTTTGGCAGTAGAATTGTAAATCCATGCAATGGGGTGTTAAGCACACAAATCCAATTAAATCCTTCAAACAGCTTTGAAAGCCTTCCCAGAGGGTACAGAAATGGTTATTTGTGATTCTCTTGAACTGCCTTTTATGGCAGCTTGCTGAGAGTGTCTGTGACAAATAGTCTTCTGGGTCTTTAGTGGTGCAAGTGGTAGATTTTTTAAACAAGCAAATGAATCAACTTAAGACTTCGGTTTGTTCTTTTAACAGATCCTACACAAATGGGAGGCCTGAGTATGCTGCTTCTAGCAGGGGAACATGCACTTACTGCACAAGAGGTAAGGAACTCTCTTCTCTTCTCTTCCTTACCATGAGCTCTCAGTCTAAAGAGCTTGTAAGAGGAATATTTGACCAGTGAGGAATTAGTGTAGGACACACCTCAGGTAACTTCACCTGAGAATGAAATGTGTGTCTTGTATCCCAGCTGTGAATGTGGGTTGAGCAGAGTTCAGTATTAACTCTGCTGATACTTGAACATACCAGTGAAGCCTGGCCTATGAAGAGACATTGTCAGAGGTAAAAGGGTTGAAATAATGTGTTAACAAACAGTTGGTTTGCAAGCTTTTCTGGGCAAGGATTCTATATGCTTGTGCAATGCCTGACACAACTGTGGCCTGTCACTAACAGATGAATAAACAAGTAATTTCCTACAAAGTCAGCATCATTGCATATGCATTCTGAAACCCTGCAAGTGCTAACAGGTAATTGAAGTATTGCAGTCTGCTCCTATTCACTAAATCATTATGTCTAAAAAGAAGTTTGTAGTTCAGTTGCCATCACAAATGTGTTTTTACAAAGGAATCTAGTGTTTGTGTATATCTCCAGTAGTGCAGAGATCTCTGGTCTTTCTTTAGACTGATTATTAATATAATCTGGTTTTTAGGCCAACTTTGAAAATTGTTCAAAAGGTGGTTTCTTTGTTGGATATAGTAAGTAGTACTGCCATAAATTTCTATCTCTAGGAAAGAACTCTCTTTTGTTGTTGTTGGTTTTATTGGGAGGAAAAGTAATAATTAACTTAATCTATATGTGTAGTGCATTTGGGATGTATTGCTTCTGTACTGCCAGGATTCCTCAATGCTTTGCACACCAGTTTTAGCCATGGAAGTTTTGTGCTGTGTGGGTACTGGCCTTCTGTGCTGCAGCATGAAAAATAAGAAACATTCATAAGCCAAGTTGACAGAGAAGTGAAAAGAAATACATTATTTTGTGCTAAAATTATACTATCCTTCTCAAACTTGTAGTCTCTCAGCTTGGAGCATACAAACTACTTTTACTATGCTGTTATGTTTAAAGGTGAGGGAAGGTATATTGTAGTCACAGATACTGCATTCCTTTAAAAAAGGTCTTTGCTATGACCTTGAGAGCTGAGGTGACTTGATTCTACAAGAGCCTCAGTAGTATAATTTCAGATGGCAATATAGGAATAAAATCCACATGCAGATTTAGAGTCAAATCAAAAAGCATATTGTGTGATTGCTTTAGTGCATAAAAGTTCTTTTAATCAGAACTTTTTATTTTGAGCAAAAGACATGTTTCCTGTGTGCCTCAATAAATCCTGGTTTTCCCAATAGAAGTGTGCGGTACAACTTGTGATGAAGTATTCAGTTTATGTATAAACTACACTCTACTCTTCTGAGCCTGTAGTCTTCTTTTGAAACTCCGCATCAAAGAAGCAAGCTGTGTAATCTGCTTTCCCCAAAAATGCAGAGCAAAATAATTGTCAAAATACAAAAAGCAAAATACAGCCCAGACAAAACTAGTTGGGGGATTGCTAGAGTTGAGATGAGCCATAATATAGCCCATACTTACTAATGAATTACCATATTTTAATTGTCCTGCCCTACCTGAGAAGTGGTTAAGGGACAGAGCACTTTCCCAGGAAACTGCACACCTCTGATACTTTTTGAGGGTCCCCTTTGTAAAATACCTCCTCCAGATCAACAGGGGAGATTGGTATTCTTGGTATTCTTAAAGAGACACAAATGAACAAAGTTCAGTCCTCCTCATTGTGTGTTTGCAGGAGTTAAGTTCTGTGGCAGCCTTGGTGTGTCTTCCATTTGTCCTTTATTTTCTTATGTTTCAGTGGTGAGTCAATACAGAACAAATATTTCTTAGGCATGTGTTTCTCAAATGCAGTAATGATCCTAAATCTGTTTAGACTTGGGCAACTGAACAGCTCTTCTGTCTTCCCACCCTCAAGCGTGTAGACAGAGGAGATGTAAGATGGTCATCTTTGCATGCCTTTAGGAGGATTTATGGTTGGATTTCCATGCTTATGATCTCACACTTACACCAGCATCCTGGAGGTTAGCAGAACATGTTAGGAGGAGTATGACAGACTCAGAAAGCAGCTCAAGAATTCATTGTAGAGCTGGGAAGCTGCTTTGCTCTTGAGAGGAGAGGAGGAGTCAGTTGTGTTGTATTAGAGTTGGTATTCACATGGGAGAGAATATGGTGTACTAAGGTGACTACAGAGGTATGGTTAGTGAAAGAGGTTCAGAAGTTGCTTTATTATGGAGAATGTATGTATTGTTTTTATATGCTTGTGAGTATATAAATATACATTGTACATCTTAAGCCTTGGCAATTTCAATTTTTAGAAAAAGGACAGACACCATCATATTTTAAAGAACGGTCTAAATTATAACATGTAGTCTAAATTATCATGAAAGTGTGTCTATACACTTAAGATACATGTACACATATATGATTCTTAAACTGGGGATCTGTCAGACACAGGATTAGCTGTGACATGCATATTGACTGCTGTGCGTATGTATGATTGTGCAGCCTCGGGTGGCCTTGTAAGCATAGGTCTTAGACAGAAACTCCTACAACTTTAAGTTCTTAACAGAGGGAAGGGCAACACTGGCACAGTTTTGCTCAGCACTTGAGAGAGGATGAAGGACATTGTACTTAGAGGTCAGCTAGTCCAATGAAGAGTATTCAACATCTGCTGATGTTCTGGCAAGTGTAAGCTAAATGAATGGATAGGGGTTTTTCAAGTGAGGTGTTTAATCTCTGAGTTGTCAGAAGCCCAGATGTCAGGTAACCAAGTGACCAGCCAGCAGGAGGATGGGAAGAGGCACAATAGTGATATTTACAAAATTGTTTTGAGGCTTCAGCTGTAATCTCTGTATGTTCCCGGTTTTGCAAATTTTTGTAAGAGACTAGGGAGTTTCTCTTCTGGTAACAGAATTCAGTGGTGGTGGGTGATTGATTTCTAGGCAGCAGCTGGCATTACTAAGCAGATAGGGAAGAGAAGCTACAGACCTTACAGGCAAAGGACATGGGTATGCAGTTTACCCCTGCATTTTGAATGCTTTCATCGGTTACACAAGACAGTGGTGTGTGAACATATTTTACTGAACACCTGAGCAGAGATGCCGGACGGATCATCTGCAGCTGCTGTGGTTGTGCCAGGCACAGCCGGCTCCTCGGCGCAGGCTATTGACAGCCAGGCTGAAACCGGGTGAGCAGCGCTCCTTGCTTGCCCGTTCGCCTCCCTGCCCATCGCCCGTACTCGTCCGTCTGGCCCTTTCCTTGCCTTACAGCAGCACCTAGTGGACTCTCGGTGGGTTACTGCCCAGAAATCCCGGCAGCCGGAGCGGCCTCCAAAGCCTCCAGAGCCTGCGTGTCTGCGGCGCCAACGCCTCGCAGCCTCAGGGTGCGGCCGGCCCAGGGATTTCCTCCGCGCTCGGTCCGTGGGGTCGTTTCAGAGCAGGTTGTGGTAACCTGCAGGGAAAGGAAGGCCTGTGGTTTCCCTCTTTTTGAGAGCAAAAGGCTGTCGTACGTGTGATGCAGGGTCTGTGCAAAGTGTGAATCACAAGTGAAAAATCTCTCAGGGCAGCTCAAGAGAAGGCTTGGAGGAAGAAATGGGATGTTGAGGACATTTTATTAGAGCAGGAAATGGGATGTACAAAATGGCACTATCTGTGCATCTGCTCCTTCTGGTAATTATTTTAATGCTTTGATCAGGTTCAGCCTGGCAAATGGTAGAAGTCATGGAGATAGTAAGTTTCCCACAGGTCAGGAGTGTTTGGGGAGCAGCAGAGTAGAAGAAACAAGGTCTAATTAAGTGCTCTGCCAAGTAAAAGCAACAGCATTAACTTTTTAAAGAGTAGCAGGAATTGATAGGAAATCATGGTGGTTCCAACCACAAAACCTCCACTGGGTTACTGAGCACTAGCAATCTGTCCTCTACACACAAACCCGTAGAAAACTGGGCTTGACATGTCCCACAGCAGGTGGTTCTGGTACCACCAGTGTACAAGCTGTGCCCAGCCCGCAGCACATGTCCTCCGAGGCAGCGAGAAGCCTCATCCTGGGTGTCTGACAGCACCTGTATTGTGGGGGCTGAGCCCAGATAGTCCCTCTTGGAAGGGCACTGCCACTCCAGCATGGTGCTCCTGGGGTCCATGGGTCAATGGCTCCAAACTCAGAGGTAAGCAGTGTAAAACAGCTGGCTGAACTGCAGAAAATATGGGAAACAAGTCCAAAATTTGGTTATTCTTTTAAGAATCCCACCAGTGCAGTGGCCAATAACCAAATGAATGCTCAGACGTGCAAGCAGCAGCTGTACATATTTGCACCTTTGCAGAATCTCAGACCTTTGGAGATGTGTCTCTCAAAAGCAGCCAGACACTTTTCTGGTAGTAGTCCAGACTACTGTTGAGGCACAGACGTCTTAAACAGACTGTACAGAAACATGATAAAAGTCAGTAATAAACATTACATCAGTGAAAACAGTAGCACAACCTACTGAAAAGGCAGAAGACAGACATTAGAATTACATTCTTTGTAGCCCTTTGGGTTGCTGTACTCCCATAGTACACTGATGAAGCATTCTGCTCAGTGTTTAACAGGAGTCACTGTTGCTGATGAGGTTTATGGCAGGAAAGAAAAATGTTTGTTCGTATGTAAGCAAATTGTCACATTGGTGAATTTCCCCTTGTCCTCTGGGTTGCTAGACTTGGATTTTGTGTTTCCAGGGGAGTGTGGGTAGCAGATTCCTGAAGGCAAATGCTGCTGTTGCTATTGCAGTGCTTCAGCATCTCAGACAAACAGCAGCAGGGCAAGCTGCACGAGCTGTGGGGCTTTGTGCTGACTTACCAACAGGTGCAGTCAGTAGCTAAATCTTATGTGCTTTCACCAATAAAAGCTGTTGATTTACTTGCTTAGGTAATGAATAAGAAAAAGCCCCACATTTATTTTTTAATTTGTTATGTAAACTGAAATTTTGAGGGGAAAAAAGTTGTTAGGGAAAAATTTCCATCCTGTTACTTTTTATAAAATCTTACAAAGCTTCCTTCCTTTTTTTCTGTTTCTTGCAAGCCATGTTACATACCTTATTTTATACTAACAGTACTTCATTCTCCTAGGAGTTACACATGTAAATCTTTTATACTCAAATGTGACACTCAATGAATGTATCGTATTTGATAGAATTCCTTTACAGAATAATGCTTGATTAACACATTTCTCGCTAATAAGGATATCATGGCTAAGATGTGTTAATTCAAATAAAGCTTTTGGTTTTGAACAGTCATTTGTTTGTATTTTGTTTTCAGTTATAATGACTTTCTTGCACTGCTTCTCAAAAGCACCCCTAAACTGTATGTTTAAGTACATGATTAGAGAAATTTTAGGCTTGTGCTACCCTTATCTATTTATTTTCATGCTGTTATGATTGGAGATTATTTTTATAAATAGTATTTCTGTCATCAACTGTGTCTTCAAAATATTTTTTTACCTTCTATGTAATCTTACTCCGAATTATAGCACAAATTACAGATGTAGTAGTGTTGATAGCATCACCAATACAAGATGGTTATGTGTGTAGTCCAGTATAATCCATTGAGTATTCTGTTGTATAAAACTATTTTGACAAGTTCAGAATCATAAAAGGAGAAGAAAAGCCTGGTATTTTTGTGGTTTTCTTTTCCAAGACAGTTTTCAAATGCATTATAATGGGTGCTAAACAGTGTTTTTATCTGTAAATATGATTTAATTTTTCCAGGACTGTGAAACATTAGCTTGCCCTTCTTCTCTTAAATGGTTTATTTTGCTCACTGTTGTTTTTAGCTTCAGGGAAGCACCTTTGAGGTCTTACCCTGCACTCTCCTTTTTTCAGGTTTCCTCCAGTACTTGCCAGTCTGATACATCTAATTCTACAGAAGCCTGTCAGAAGTCATCATTGTTTCAGTTTGCAGAGGTGAGTTTCTTTAAAAGAGTTTTTTTTTTCCTAAATGTATCCTTTTAAGAAGCATCTGATGTCCAGCTGAAAGAAAAATCAAATGTCTTTAACTAAAATGGATGTTTTTATTTGTTCCCTCGTTTTTGGGTTTATGCTGCTGAATCATTTATCAGGTTGGTAAGACTTGAAGTGCAAGAGAGTGTATTTAGGACCCTGGTGGAAACCCAGGTGCAATAATGTAGCACCTGGTTTAAGCTATAATTTGGAGATATGTCATTCCTGCACTTAGTTTTAAACTAGAGACTTATTAACTAAGGTTTTAACATGTATTTGGATGTTTCTAATCTAGTGTGGCTGCTTTAGTCATTGGCTCCATCAAAAATCATTCTAGTTCTTGACTCTCCAAAATTTTCTTCTAGAACCACCAAACAGCTCTATGCAAGTGTGCTTTGATTTTGCAGTGTACAATATTTTTGTCGACATACTCCAGTTATTGCTAGAAGTGTAATTGTGGTGTGTGCGTTATTGCTCTTTTTCTTTGAAGAGTTTCATCCAAGTCTTAATGGTTTCATAGATGTAAATAACATTACAAAAATGAAATTGCAAGGAACTCTAGCCCTCTGCAAGCATCAGTTGTTTCTTGAAATAATCATAATACATGACACAGAAATATTTAGTTGTATAGATACTGATTTTACAAGACACTGGGTAGTTTTTAAGTAAGAGTATATGGAAAGAAATTTTGTTGTAGTGAGGGTTTTTTATTACCTGTATTCACACCAGCTGTGAATCTGACGTGTGTGTCTTTATTACCCATTGCTTTGTGCACTTTCACACTCCTCCCTAAAAGATCATCACTTTGGGAGCAGGCACATTGCAATCCTAGCACACAAGAAATGGGACTTCTTTTTCAGTTGTATATTTTAATATCAGTGCACAAGCCCTTGAATTCCAGTTTAAGATCTGAGTCTTTCAAATATATTGGAAGTAAATTGGAGCACTGATCCTTTATTTCTGATTAAAGATAATGGCCAGAGTGAAGTAGATAACCTGTAATTAGGCTCTTAAACAGCCTGCTGGCTTTTCTTGTTAGGAAGAGGAAATGCCTGGTGTGCCAGCAATGAAAAGCAAGACTTAGATGCTTCTTAGAATTGGTTAATTCCAGTATCACTTATGACACTTTTGTGGTAATGATTCGACATCCATCTTCCCATATGTCTGAGATGCTTCTGTGTGCTTATACTGTCAGTAGAGTAATGTCTTGTATTGAATTCCACTGCTGAATCTTTTAAAGAGTAAGACAAATACCAGCTCACCTAATTGTTTCAGTTCATTTTACAGTGCCGAAGGAGGGAAGTGCCAGACTCATGTGGTAGTAGGCAGGAATTGTGTGCTGCCAGATATGCCCTTGCTAAGAATTTCTGACCTCAGGCTTTTCCTTACCCATTGAAGAAAATTTTTAGTGGGTGCCAGGAAACAAGCTCACCTGCCCTGCTAAAACATGTGGTTTAGGAGTAGCCTACTGATGATCAGTAATTAGAAATGCAAATTAGCTAGTCTTATTTTTCAAGGATGTTAAACATCCTGTAGAGAGGGTGCACCTAACCAGTGCATGGTAGGTATGTGCGTCAGTGGCAAAATGATAGCAACAAAACTAATTGACACAAGTTAAACAGTATGAAATGCAGTTACCTTAGTGTGGGGGATAGATCTGGTGTCTCAGAATACCTGCACACATTGTGTTTCTGTCCACACTTACCTTCTGTACTAAGTAGCAATTTGTGCTCTGTCATCACCACCATTCTGCAGTCTCAGGTCTTCCACTGAACTGTGAAATACAATACAGTGTTAAGTATTTGTTGCTAACCCTTCTTTGATATATCAGCAGGCAAATAAAAGCCCTTCAAAAAAAGCTTATTTTGTAGATTGTAGGAAGGATTTTCCTTCTGAAAAGTAATTCAAGATTACCATTTCACAGATCACCTGTTTATGTGTTTCCTGGAAAGCAGATACTGTTTGTTCTAAGGGTGTGTTGGAACTTTTTTGCATACTCTGGAGTACCAGGAATCTTTTTATGACAGATTATAAATTTAGCATGCTGAAGTGTGATACTGAAACTGAACAGTTAGGTAATACAAGCATAATTGTTTTCCTGACAGATCTCTTCCAACACATCACAGCCTGGAGTCCTGGGGGCAGTAAAGCAAACGGAGGAGTCTGCATTGTTTCAGTTTGCTGAGGTACAATGGCTGAATGTGGTGGGGGAGGATGGGAGGAAGCAAGGAACCGGTAAGAGTTGCCTGTGAATGGCTGAGCACCCTGTCTTATCAGAGACTCCCATCAGGAGATGTGTATCTTCCTGACAGTATTGTGTTAAGAAAACCGTGGGGTGAATTACCAGTGACTGGATGAGATGTTTGCCAGTTCTACCAGCTGAGAGGTATTGGGCTTGTGAACATTACCTAGCCTTCCATACCCAAAGGATCACTGCAGACTTACTATCCAAATGGCCTTTTAATTTACATCTAGGAAAACAGCAATTAAAAGACATTCTGAAATGACACTGTGCTGCCTGTGAAGAGGCTGCAGCAGGGCAGAATGGTGATTGCCCTAGAGGCAGGAATCATTTGGAGAATCCTTGCAGGTCAAAGGAAGCTTGTCACAGCAGCCACAAGGATATTTAACAGCATCAGTTAAGTGGTGACTTATCAAGCCTGTCAGTTTCCCATAAGTACATAGCTTTCTGCCTTCCTCCACACATAGAAGATTTAGAGTTTATGAAATGCTGCTTTTAGAAATTTCTTCTCCCATGCGTTAAATGTGCCTCTGTGAATTGACTTTCCACACATTTACTCTTCTTGCCCATTTGGGGGAGTCTGATGCTGCTTGCAGAATCATTTAAGGCACAGGTGCATCTTGTGTGTGCCTGAAAAGGCTGGGATTGGAGCTGGTGCTATTGCAGAGGAGCATAAAGGGATTAAAAGATACCCTGATTGTTTTTCTGTGTGTCACACACTTCCTTCTGTGTAATGTTGAACTGATTGTCTACTATGTTTTTTTAGCTTGCTGGAAGGAGCCTTGGTGTTTTTTTCAGGAGGGCCAAGGAAGACAAACCAATTCACTGATTCAGGTGCCAGAAAATACCTGGCTACAAACACTCCTATAAAAGATAAATACAGTTAATAACTCTAATCATGAAAGTGTTTTCATGATTGTAAACCACAGCTTTGAAAGTTAGAAGTCAATTTGCAAAGCTCTTTTGAGAAAATTAGAATTGAGCAGGATGAAGCTATGTGCTGAAGCTAGACTTTTAAACCAAGTTAAAAGATACAGACTGAAGAACATTTCTTGTTAATTTTATTGCAAAATACTGGAATAATACTGCAAGTGAATCTGCTAACTTAGTTGCAAAAATCTCAGTCATTCTGGGTATCTGCAGAGTTGAACAGAGTATGTATTGCATTTAGTACAGCATTCTTAAATGGTCACATAAAACCTGGCTTAGCCATACTCTCAGAATTTCACAGAACCTAAAATCATTTCCTCTCCTAATTGAACAAACAAAATGACAAACCCGAAAATTGTCATACTGATGTGATAGTGTGTTTAGTTGCATTCTAGTATGCTGAGTGAGCTGCTTTGGCACATTGGAGTACACATATGAATCATCAAATATTAGGTAGAAGAGGTGCTTAGAAAGTTAATTAGGATTTACTGAGGACAGTTTTAAAGTCAGGGTTAATATCTTTTTCTTGTAAAAATATTTAAATGTGTGTGCAGTCTGCAGGGGTTGGTTTTGTTCTGTGGCTGGAAATAGGAGACAGAAATCTGGTAAAGAGAAAAAAACAGAAAATATTTTAAAAACCCACCTTGTTAGCCATGGTTATTCTTCCTGCAAAACCTTAATGACAGTGATGAACATCACTTTTTGTCTATAGCAGTAGAGAAATGGTGTTTTTTCTTAGCTTGTAGCCTGATGATTTAATTTAGGTTGCTCCTGGGGAAAGCATTGAGCATGTTACAGAACTTCTTTAAGCTTTCTCCCCTGCTATTAAAGCTGCTTGTGCTCTTTCAGCTATAAGGGCTTTCATTTGCACAGGCTGCCTTTGTGAAATTTGGCAAATGTCCTATTTCTTACTGTGCCACTTCTTGCATCTTGTCTATATGAACGCATTACTGCATTTAGAGAACTAAATTATGGCAAGCAATTTGCAGTGGGCTGCTGTCAGCAATGTACAGTGCTACAAAAGAAAAAAGAGAAGGAGAGAAAGTAGTTATTTAACCAGTAGCCAAGTAGACCTGTGAAGAAATGTGAAGTGTGCTCTGGTCTGATGTGCCTGGAGACTTCTGGCAGCCGTCCCAGCTCAGTTTTGGTTCTGGCTGGGTGTTCCTCATATGTTGCCTTTCTCTTCACCGCCCTTGCAGCAGGGTGAGTAAAAGTGCTTCTTTGTGAAGACAGTGATCCCATTGAGTAGGTTTGTCATTTAAAACAGACACCTTTACCCCAGGAGTACAAGTGCCCTGTCACTCAGAAACAGCTCATTATGTGTAGAGTAGCATGGGATTCTTTTTGTCTTTACAGCCTCAGTTAGTCTTTCATCTGGTTGTCTAGCCCAAGTGCTGTAGTTGTCAATTAAAGCTGTTCAGGATATGCCTAATGAGGCCTGCCCAATGACTTGCCACAACAGATGATGAAAATCCTGGAAGCAAGACTTCATTGGGTTCTGTGGGTGCACAGGCAAGTGCCTTGGAGGTCTTCAAAGATGATGTGACACCCTAATAAGAGCTTTTTGAAGTTTGGATTGTTGTCAAGTTATGCTTTTGGCTTTCTCATGCTTCTGACCTTGCAAGTAGTTGGCCCTACTTTTGTCCTCCTCATTTGGAACTGTATGGAAAGGCTGTGATTTCTGAGCAGTGGGCTGTGGTCCTTAGGGCAGGGGCTGTTTGCAGGCTGTCTGCTCACAGGGACTGGTCACTGTCCCTGTCCTTGCCATGAGAGGGAAGCAGAGCAGATGGGACCCCTTGCTCTCGTGGTCTTACTGCATCTGTGTTTGGCAAATGTGAACAGATGGTGGTGATTGCTTCCTTGAAAGACGAGTACCTCTTGGATTTACTTTCCTAAACTCTTATTCATTATTAAAGAAAAGGCTTCTGGAGTATGGAGGCAAAAGAATTGCTAGTTGAATCATCTTAAAAATAAAGCGAATCCACAACCACCAAACTCTTTGCTTTCAGCAGCTTTTCTAAATTTTTTCTCAAAGTGATTTAATTAAAAAGAAAAAAAACAAAACCAGTCATGTGCAGTATGCAACAAGGTGAATTTTTTTTGCTAGTCCACCTTGTTATTTTCATTTAAGATAAAAAGCATGACTCAGGAGGATTTTGTCCATGCTGCATTCTCACATGCTCACTTTGAGAAGGTTTGCTCTGTGTTTATTTCTGTGCAGAACAGGAAGTTTGAATCCAAAACTTTTGGTCAAAATACCTTGAAATTTGGAGTGTAAAAACTAGTGAGTGTTTTCTCTTCCAACTTCCATATGTAAAACTGCAATCTTCCCAGGTAAAGAAAAATGTATTTGCTGTTTGCCCACATACTGAAATTATTAAATGTTTGTGTTGGAATGAAATGCTTCTTCTAGGAGGAATATGCAAAAGTAGTCCCAGCTTCTTTTGTAAACTAAAATGTAATATAATAGCTAAAGTCCCACCTGTATTGTAATAAAAGATAGTAACTTGATCCTGATGATCCTCCAGTTAAACCTCTACATCAGTAAAGGGCTGTTTGTGGTTGTAGTACTGGGGATTCTGATTATTTTTAAGTCTGGGAGGTGTCCTTAAGACAGGGAATGGAATCTGTAACCTCACTGAGAGCTGATTGATCAGCCATTCTTTTCCTTCTGATGTTTGGCCAATAACTTCATTAGAATGAGTTACATGCTTCTGTCACTTGCTGTTTGTTTTCTTAGCTCTTTAAAGGTTGAGTTGTTTTTTTTTCTGAGATGAAGTGTCTCCTTCCTCTCTTTCTTTTAGTACTATAAAGATCTCACATTTTGTTAGGAACACCTATTGTCTTGTCAAAATTTCTTTACTGTAGTTTCCTCACTTTCTGCATCAGGAGGCAAGATATGCCTGTATATTCTCAAGTTATAATTCAGTGTGTGTGGGTGTTGTTCTATCCTTTTTCTGCCATTCATGTTATGCAGAAAAAAAATCATTGAGATGAGCATTTGTTAAAATAGAAGGATAAAAAAGTTGAAGTGCAGTGTACAAGATCACTTAGTCAAGGAGGGTCCTGAGCAGCTTCACTGAACTGTCTCAAAGCAAAACTAGGATGTTGAATTATTTCAGTTCAATATTAAAATTTCTGTTGGTGCACATTTGAGTATTATTCACTGTACTGAAATAGCTTTAAGTGAAATGAATGTCCTGGATTTTGGTGGAGGAGGATGTGGTGGGGAGTGTAATAATAAATTCTTTGACAGGTAACTGAAAGATAAATTCTTCAAATAACCTAGTTCAAATGAGAGAATTTATTACAAGGAGAAAAGCAAACATGATAATTTTTGCATCTGGAAGATCATAGAACCATAGGATGGTTTTAATTGGAAGGGACCATAAAGCTCATCTTGTTCCAGCCCCTGCCGCATGCAGGGACACCTTCCACTCCATGGGGTTCCTCAAAGCCCCACCCAGCCTGGCCCTGAACACCAGCCTCTCTGGGCCACCTGTTCCAGTGCCTCACCACCCTCTGAGTTAAGAATTTCTTGTAACATCTCCCATAAACCTGCCTCTTTCGCCTTAAAACCATTGGCCTTGTCCTGTCACTACCTGCGTAATCATGGTCCTAAATGTGATTTTTGTGGTGAGGGAGATATCATAGAAACACTGATGATTTTGTCCCAAGGCTTTTAAAGGCTTCTAAGTCAAATGCTACTATGCAATGCCATGCCAAAAAGGTCACATATCAGAAATTTCTTGCATTTCTGAATTCATAATGCTGCACTAGAAAGCAGGTCTGAAAAAATTTGGCTGTAAAAACAATTCCCTAAAGTGATGATGGTAGTTATTTACTTATCAAAGGTGCTGGCACACCAACAGCTCTTTGGGAGGCTAGATTTAATCTCCAGATATAGGTCTTATTTCCTTTTTCATAACCAAAGAAAGTGAAACAAGGACTGCTTGTGAGGACAGATGGTCCTCTTCTATGTCTAAAGAATGGGAAATACTGCCCAGGCCTTCTGGGAGAATTTAATTTAACCTTAACAACTAATAGGACATATTTTTAAGCAACAGGTATGATTTGTTCACTTGGTCACAAAAAACTTATGTAAAACACACAGCATGACAGAATATTAGCTGGGGACAGTACAAACATAGAGTATCCATGAACATAATCTAAGGAAGGAATGTGGTATTTGCTTGTGTTCTTCTGTTTTCTACGTATCTGCTAAGTGTTTCATGGGTGGGTTTGCCTGTCTGAAGTAGGGCCTTTTGCCAGAAAGAACTAAAATTTAACTAATCTATTGTTTTCTATTCTTTTTTCCCCTCCCTTTCTGTCTTTCTTGTGTGCCACTGAAATATTTTCTCCTCTGTTCATTTGTAACCTAGATCTCATCAAACACTTCCCAGTTGCCAAGTCCTGAGCCAGTAAAGCACTGTGGGAAGTCGGCACTCTTCCAGTTGGCAGAGGTAAAGTTATACCCACTAGTGTCAGAAGGGGAGGATGTGTTTAACCTTTCCAGAAAAAATTATTAATTGTTTAAGGTTTGCTCTAGTATCAAATTTCTTGTTTCCAGAAACATAAATTAGTAAATAATGACGTATCAAGAGAAGTAGGCAGTGGCTATGGTCCCAGGGACCTACTCTTTTAGACACTTGTGAATGTGCTTATTTTCTTAGAGACAGCACAGAAAGTTACACTTCTTTTTGGGAAAGTTAGCTTTATAAGAGTAATTAAAACAATGCTCAGGTGAACAGCAAAAGCAAGAGGTAACAGTATTCTTAATGAGCAGCTGGATACCAGGATTTAAAAAGCAGCGCTTTAGTTGTGATGATTGGAAGGTACATTGCTTAATCAAGGACTGAGAATAGGGAAAGGTCATCAGGAATCTGTATGAAGAGTTGGAAGTTGATGCAGTGTATTAAATTCTGAAATTGGCAGCTGTCAGCAGTAATCAAGAACGCTGGGTCAGGTTTCCTCAAGGTCCTGGAAATTCTCTGTGAGTCTTAAATATAGCCTTGTAGGGGTCTTCTCTTTGGTATGGATGATTCACTCAAAAATCTCTGAGGTTTGATGTGCAGATGCTATTTTTTGTGATGATTGAAAGATGAAGATACATGCTGTATTCCAGACAAATAAGGAAGTATGCTAGCATGTTACTTGTACACTTCTTTTGTTGGTTTTTTTTTGTGGTGTTTTAGTTTGTTTCAAATTCACATCCTATTTCAGTAAGGAAAATGGTTCTCTGGATCCTCTCTAGTTGCAGACAGCCCTATATTCTTGCTGGTGAGATCAGTCCCTCTCAGGAAGAAGGCAGAGGTTGGAAGCATTGAAATGAAAGTATTTCATGTCTTGTTCTAGTGTTGCAGGACTGTGGCTTTATAGGAATTTAAATGAGTGGAAGAAAATCTGCCTTACTGTACAGGCAGTCTGGCAGTAGTAGAGTTTGTGGCTATGTGCTCTATTGCCAGCAGTGCCTGTGCAAGGGTGATTACACCCAACTGTGGTCAGTGATCCATAAGGGTATTTGGCTGTTGCAGCTCTGGGCCAGCAGAAGGGCTGGTAGTATTTACTCAGGGACACCAGAAGTTTCTAACATGGCCTTTAACAGGACAGCAGCTGGCTTAGTAGTGCTGTTCTGGAGTGAGGATTATTGCCGTGTGCAGCCTGATCTTTAGAACTCAGCATTGGAGGTTGTGATGTGACCATGAAGCTTGTGAAGCCCTAATTTAGTAGAAGGACAGATGCTTGTCCACAGGAGTGCACAGTTTGTACTGCAGGTGGCAGAAAAAGCGAAGCTAAGTCTGGCAGCATGACGTTGTGTGTTGGACAGGTTTTTGTGATCTCTCAGTGATTGCTCAGATCATGTCCTGCAAGCCTAATTTAATACACAAAATGGATGTTAAAGGCTCTGATTCAAACAGGGAAAAACACAGCAGATGTGCTAGGCACATCCTCCATGTCTCTAGCTCTTGTAGAGGCGAGCACATCAGTGCTATTGATTTTTTTCTTATTTTTTCCCCAGTTTTGGAGATCTCTAATGTTGGATTATAGTTCAATAAATGATATGTGAGAGATTCAGCTTGAGTTTTCAGATGCAGTTCAGTCCCTGGTTTGAAGCATCCTAAATAAACCATTTCATAATCACCTCGAGGGTGTCTTAGGTTTGCAAGTGGATTTGGCAGACAGCTTGCTGTAACTCCAAACTGCAGATGTTGTGCACTGGAGGGGACTACTGTTTCCATGCTGCTGGCATGGCAAGTGTCTGGTGTGTGGGAGCCTGTCTTCTTCAGCACACCACACTGCTCTGCTCCTCCTTCATCTCTTTGCTATGTAGATTAAACAATTTTATCTTCTCCCCCCCCCGCCCCTTCCCTATCCCTTCCTTTTTGATATTTCACAATATTTCAAAGATGGTGATTAAAATAAAATGCAGAAGGGGGTTTAATTATTTTCTAAAACTTCTGAGGATTTCTAAGTTTCTACAAATGGTTGGAGCCACTCTGCATTTGAAGCTTGGGAGGTTGTTGCTGTTCAGCTCTGCTGAGTCCCTTGCTGTGTTTAGCTTCAGTGCAGAGGCACGAGATTAAGTGTTGGAGTGCAGGAGTGGAGCATCACCTCCCCAAGGCAAGGAGCCCACTCAGAGCACTAACAGCACCTGGCTGTCAGCAGCATGTGGAGGCCTGAGCTCTGATGATCAGAGCTTGGGAGGCACTGTGAAGAGCTGCACCTTCCAGGAGATGTAGAGACAGTGTTGGTTTTTGTTTATTTCTTTTACGGCAGTGACAGGCCAAATTCTGCAATCAACTTTGTAGGCCCATGCTGATTGAGAGCAATGAAAACTGAGTTTGTGGGGACAGGGAGAGACAAAAGGGTGTAAATATTTTGGTTCCTCAGTCCCTTATAACTTCACATTCCTGTGCAGCCTAAAGAAGGAGGTATAAGAAGCCCATAAGCCTGGTCTGGGATGATGGGATGTGTCCTTAAAAATACAACATTTTCTTCAAACTAGTGGGCAATCCTGATACTGATACTTTAAAGTTGTTTAGAAAAAGATCATTTCCTTGCACCTATTTCAAAACTGACGCAAAATACTCTAAAGTGATGAAGAGGATCATGGCCTGCTGCAGGAAAAAGATTCTTGGAGGATAATCATCATGACAGCCTTCTTTTATTCTGAGGAATACTAAAGATTACCAAAGGCTTGAGGGCTTTTACTTAACTTTGGGTTCAGAGCATCTCTTTTATACGAGTCCTATAGGACACCAAAAGGCAATATCATAACCTGAAAGAAATAGCCTCCTTAACCTGTGATAATTAAATAATTAAAAATTTTGGAATCTGGTGTCCTGCTAAGCCTTTAAAAACACCACCAGCTGGGCTGCATGCTGGTGTAGATTGTTGTTTAACTGCTGGAGTCTGTTCCTGTGTGAGAGAGCATGTGTTTCAGTTCATCCTGTTCCTCAAAGGGAGTCCTGACAAGAAAAACCCCAAATGTGCAAGTATCATTTAGTGTACAGTGGTGTTGTCCAGCAGAGCAGTGTTGGAGTGGGTTTTTATTCGTACCCGCATGCACAGGTCTACACTTCTATTTTAGTATATAATCTTATAAATGAATTTTGGGAAGAGGGGAAATAATCTGTTGAAAAGCTGTGTCATAAACATGAAAGAATTGGTAGTGATCAAAGAATGTTTTATTTGTGTTGATTTTTCTCTCCGTAGATTTCTTCAAGTACATCCCATTCAGGACCTTCTGATTTAACGAAACAGTGTGGAACATCAGCATTATTTCAGCTGGCAGAGGTAATACTAACATACTCATGACTAATTGCCCCAGGAGCAGTGGGGTGGAGAAGTTAAAGCTATTGATTGCCAAAGTCTGCAAGGCAGAGCAGTGATACAGCTATAATTGCACCACTGCTTATAGAACTATAAATTATCATGGCTCAGATGCCACAAGTCAAGATTTCCCCAGATTAGCCATCAATTTAGAGGTTTCTAAGAGTCTGCAGCTGAGAAGTACTATCAGTTCCTGGTGGCAAAGGGACTTGGGTGCAACTGAACTTGATTCAGTTTCTCAGTTTAGGCTTTGAGGTCTTAGGGCTTAGCTGAGGAACACAAATAGTTGAGAGAGAGGACTGGATGACTGTGTTATAAAATTCAGACATTGCCATTACGAGTTCATGGTAATGGTTATGAGCTGCTTTCATTTATTTTTGCTTTTCATGCCCATTTTATTTTTCAGAACTAACACGTCAATAACTTACATAGAAGTTCTGCTGTGATGCTCTCAGCAGATCTTCCTTCTGAGAGCAGTTAAAACCAATGGCACTTTATTGAAATTTTGCCTTTTTTTGTTTCTAAACAATTTTTTTAAGCTTTCCCAGTCTTGAAGATTGTTTAATTAGAAGTTTATTTGCTGACAAGACAGAATCCACTTCTTTTGTAGCCACATCTGTAGCTCTGTACTACTGGCTACTGCAGAAGAAGCAAATGGATAAAAGGAAAAAATCCATTGGCTGTGCGATGTATGTTGAATTGACAAAATAGTCCAGTCCAGTGAGCTCCATCTTAAAGATTGAACTTTAGCTTTTGAGAATCACAGGCTGTGCTTAACATTGCAGTGTAGTAAAAAAGTCACAGAACTACCTTTGTACCAAGAGCCCACATCAGCACAGTTGTGGAGTTCTCCTTTGCCTAGTCTAACTTGCTTCCCAATAGATCCTGTGTGTTGCCCAAGCTCTGGTGCTTTACACTGCTCAGCTCAGCTTGTCCTGAACCAGATCCGTAATTTCTACCTTGTGCAGCAAGAATTTTGGAAACCTGCTACAAAAACATCCCAATCATTGGTGTTAGGTTCTTACATAAATTGGTATGAGAGACTTTTTTAGTTTGCAAGGAAGAAAAGCCTTGCCAATTTGAGAAATCTAAAATGGACCTAAAGAGAACCCATATGTCTCAGGGAGGTACATCTATACTGACCACATGGCCTGTGGGCTAAGCTGCAGGAACCTTCTGATGTCTGGTTCAAAGCAAGCCTCCTCCATCTGGTTTTGCTCCAGGTGACTGGTTGACATTTGTTCTGAAAACAAAACTGCACTGGGAATTCAGCTTGGGGGCTTTGAGAGAGGACAGTAAGAGCAAAGCATGACTTCCCAAGGGCTGTTGGTTGGTGCCGTGAAGGACTTCTGTAGATGTGTCTACATAACTTACAGGTGATCCAAAACAGAGAGGATCTCCTAAGTCAGTGCTGCAGGAACGTGGCAGTTTGAGGGCCTTCTGACAGTTCTTTTTCTGAATATTGGTGTTCCTCAGATAGTATAGGAATTTTGGTTTCCATTAGAGTTGTCTCCAGGAGGAGATAACCATGGCAACCACTGCTGCTGTGCAGTTTTTTGCAAAATAAGTCTCTAACATGAGAAGAAAGATTTGGAAGGCTTTTGCACTACCTTCCAAATAATTTCTTACATTCAAGTAGAAGAAAATAACCTCAGGGAGATTCAGTAAACATTTTTCCCTTACTTCTTCAAGGCTATTTAGAAAATGGAGAAAGGAATTGTATTAGGGACATTTGAAAGTTGAAGCGGGGAATGGATGTGAGATTCCAAGTAGATTGTCTGTGGCAGTAGTCAGAGATAACTGTTCTGTTGCATTTCAGATATTCTGAAAATCTGTCTAGCAGTGGATTTCCAGATGATATAAAGAGCTTTAAAGGAAACACCACTGAGATCAGTTGGGAGTCTTTTTTATTACAGCAATGAACCTACCAGCCTTATTCTAGCACTTAGCCCTCATCCCATTGCATCAGTTTCAGCATGTCTTCAGCCTGTTTTTCAGTACTGTCCTGTAACACAGTTTGCTTTCCTAAACTAAAATGCCAGAGAGATTCCCTGTTAAATACTCCTGTTAGTATAAGTAATGTTAACAGTTGATGTTTGTTTCATGAGACTGTTTTTAAACTTATTTTAGATGTGCCTTGCTTCAGAAGGAGTAAAAGTGAAAGAACCTGGGAAAACAAAAGTGGAAGGACTGGAAGATGAGGAAGGGGAAGTTTCAGAGGACATGGAAGTAGAACTGGAGAAAACAACAGTAAAAGACTCCAGTAATAGAAAAGTAGAACAATCAGAGATAGAAAAATTGCAAAACCCAGATGAAACAAAAGCTGAGGAATCTGAAACTGCAAAATGCAGAGATTTTACTAGTCTTGCAATGGAAAACAGTCCTTTTGAGAGAAAGGATAGCACAAAGGATCACATGTGCCGTTCTCCAGAGCTTTTCATGAGTGACATGGCTATCCTTGGGCTAAAGCCAGAAAAGATAAAGAAGAAAAAGAAAAAAAATAAGTTGGACCGGCACACAAATGAAAAATCCACCCCCAAAAAATCTTGTAAAAAGAGGCAGTCCTCCGAGTCGGACATTGAAAGTGTCATGTACACAATTGAAGCCGTGGCTAAGGGGGACTGGGGTGCTGAGAGACTTGCGGATACTCCCCGCAAAAAAAACCGCCCTGTCTCAAATGTGAAGGGAAGCATGTTGGATACAAAATCACCAAAGAAAAAAGTGAAATCAAAAGAAAAGAAAACATCAAAGGAGAAACCAATGGAGACCACCAAAGAATCCAAGCCGCCCGATTTCCTTAGTATTGAAGCCAGCAAGGAAGTACCGTGTGAGGCTCCTGATAACATTAAAGTGGAACCACTGACACCAACAGAGGAGGTGGTACCCCAAAGCTTACCAGAACAGATCAAAACTGAGGACAGTGACTGTGTTAAAAAGATAGAAACCTGTGGCTCCAGGAAATCGGAGAGATCTTGCAAAGGTGCTCTTTATAAAACTCTGGTGTCAGAGGGCATGCTCACATCTCTGCGCGCTAATGTGGACAGAGGTGGGTGACTTTGACTGTTTTGTTTACAGCATGAACTGCAAAAGCCTGCCTGGAGTGGGAGGAAAAACAAAAATCCATGTTTAAGCTGGAGTTTGAGCAGTGTGCAGTGGGAATATTGTGTCTGGCCACCTGAGATGCTAGGGACGGGTGGAGTGGCTGGGCTCCCTGTTCCAGGGCAGGTCTTTTGAAGTCCTGCAATCTGTGTTCCTGCTTACCTCACAGACTCCTAACTGCTGTATTTTCGTCTTTGAGTTTTAAGTTCTTGGCTGAAGGCTTTGTTGTTTAATTTGTCAGCCTGCTGGTAGATGTGTGCAGGACTTGTGATGTATGTAACCCCGAACCATTACCTTGTTTCTATATAAACAACTCCTGTGGTTGTGAGCATAGTTCTCAATCCTGCAAGAAGCAAATGTGTTCTGGTTTTGCTTTGGTTGTTAGATTTGCTGTAGGCAGTAAGTGAGAACCCTTTATCCTGTGGAAGGACAAATTTGAGATAATATCTGGAAGCTTTCAGTGAAATGTCTGGAAGTGTATTTTTCCAACTGGTAGATTTATATGTGTAATTAGAACAGTCAGAAAAGAAAAAAGTAGTTTGTAATTTAGGGAAGCTTATTACTGTATATCTCTTCATCTCTTTCTTCTTTATACCTTAATAGATCCTGACTTCTGAGATAGTCTAGGAAAAGACAGGAGAGGGGGCGCAGAATAGTTGTCAATATCATCATTGCCCAGTTTAAAATGAAAAATGTTTTGTGACTGCCTTAGAGAAGGTCAGGCTTCATAAGTTGCTGTACTGCCTGGGTACACAAGTTTCTTTTGCGTTTACTTTGTTTTGGAACATTTTTCTAAAGATGAGAAACAATTGTCTGCCTTCATCACAGGAAAAAGAAGCTCAGGAAAAGGTAACTCCTCAGATCATGAAGGATGCTGGAATGAAGAAATCTGGGCCTTTTCCCCAAGTGGGACAAGTGGGAACAAAAAACTGAAAAAGACTAAGCCAAAGGAAGAGTTTGTTTTTGGGTAAGTTGTGGCTTAACACTGATGTTTTAGTTAGGTCAGCCTAATAATTTAAGAGTGAGTCCTCCTCACTGCAGCTAAGTGATCTGCACACAAATAATCACAATTCCAAAAATGAAAAACCCTGTGGAACTGAGTCATGCTCTAAATACCTGTCGTTTATATAGCAGAGTAATTCCTTTGAGATCTTTCCAGGTTTACACCACTGTAAGTGAATTTGAATAGTGTTATTTGCTCAGTTCTAAAGAAACCACACAATATTTACCTGCTCAAAAAGTAGTGAAGAGGGTTACTTAGATTTTCAGAGTACTTTGCAAGCACTATTTAAAGTTCTGTGTAGGTGTTCAATCATCATAAACCAGATTAGACTAGAAAGAATAGATCTCTTTGCCCACTTTGAGAGATTGCTTACAGAGGAATAGTAAACAATGTTCTTATATTGGCAAATAATTATGATAAATAATGTCAAATTTCTATTGTAGAGAAAAGATATTTAAACTGTTTATGTCCACCATGATGAAATTAAATATATCTTAGAAACAATTAATGAGTATAGATGCATTAAAATTTAGCAAGGCTGCACAGCATTACGTTTCTAGTATACAAGTAATGATTTTTGTCAGTATTACAGATTTATTTAGTTGCAGGGGTAGTAGTTAAATCTGGGATGCTATTCATGCTTGTAAATTCTTGCAGATGAGAAAATGTATTTAAAAGGGGAGATTTTCCATGTTTCATGCTTAAAATTATAATATATTTGGTTTTGCAGGTTTGCAGTACCCTTTTCACAACCTGACATCTAATTGCAGCTCACTTTCAGCAAAGATATTAAATCAGAGGGAATCCCCAAGTCTTGTTTGTTGGAATAGTCAAGAAAAAATAGTTAAGAAAAAATGGAACACTTTGTGTTTTTAGAGCTTTGTATAAGTTTTAGAAATATTTTCAGTTGAAAGATTGAAAAATTTTCCCACATAATGGTGGGAAAGCTCATCACATCTTGTAGCATAAAAAATGTAGTTGTAAATTATTTATTCAAAGAGTACCGAGCAAAATTGTCTAAATCATTCATTCAACACTACCCTCATTAGCTGGCTGGATGAGAAAATACGTATTTTCCAATCTCTCATCTTTATTCAGTTGCATCATTAATGAATATTGTTTAGTGAACTCTGTAAAGGCAGAATTAAGAATTTGTGAAGCATAAGTGCTGGAGAAGGTATCCAGTATCCCTTTTCATTGCATTACTCGATCTTCTGGCTACTTGAAGAGCTGGTTTTACCTCTGCCTGCTCCACTTAACTCCCTCTGCTCCCTTCAGCATCACATTTCAGCCTCATTTTGTACATGCATTGGTGAAAGGGTCCTCACCCCTTCAGAATGACATAATTTTCATAATTTTCCCCTGTGTCCTACCTTCCCCATCAGTAGCTTCCCATATTTCCCTGATGGTCTGGGTCAGATGTGCTTTCCCCACACCTTTGCCAAGCAGGGCTCTACCTGCCTGTATCTCCTGGCAGAACTAGGCTGTGCAGCATGAATACCTCAGCTCAGCTACACATGTCTAACCAGGCTTCTGAGAGGCTCTTAAAATTCATGATGGTGTGGATTATTTTTTATTTCCTTAAATAATTAATCGCTGACATAGAGATAGCAGCACTCCGCATTGCCTGCCTGCATGTCACACAAGTTATAAATTACTAGCAAGGATGGCAGCTCATCCACTGTCAAATGGGGTCTGGCCTTCCCAATTAGAGCTGCAGCCCCTCATGCCCTCAGGGCAGGAGCTGAGGCAGGTGGGAACAGACAGTGGGAGAGGAGCTGAGTCAGAGCAGAAAATCCAATGGTTTTGTGGTTGTCAAGGAACATCCGTGTGGAAGAGAAAAAGGTAGCAGTACCAAGCACTACTAACGTAAGAGACCTTTGTGATTTAAAACCAAAATAAAACATGTGTACACAAACAAACAAATCCCACCATGCACCTGGTCTGCAAAGAGCCAAGGCTGTATTTTTAGATGGAAAATTGTTTCCTGAGAAAAGTAATAATTACAGAGAAAAAATGAAGTATCTTCATGTGTACCAAAACTTTCAGAATGCAATTTGTTTGAAGTACTGCTTCAGAAAGCACAGAGAAGTACCATGTTTCTTGTGATACTTCAAGTGTATAAAGGGCCATCCTTCCAACAGTCATGCCAACTTCTGTCAAGATGAGGTTTTTCATAGCAAAGAGAATTAAAAACAAGTGGAAGATGTCATTGTTCCTCTATCATTGACAGTACTATTTATAACCTGCCTAACTCTGTGCTTGCCTTTTACTAAAACACAATTCCTACTTCTGGCTGGCTGCAAAAACTTGCAGCAACAGAGTGCTTATGTTTTGTTATGCTTTCCAGTCATAACAGCTGGAAATGCTGTGCCATCCTCTTTTGAGTGCTTTGTTTTCTTCTGGCTGTTAGGAACAATCATACCTTGTCTGTGGATTTCTTGAGTTGCAGTTAATCTGCTGACAGTCTTTCAGGTTAGGCTGCAGTATGAGGCCTTGTTGGCTTTCATGAAAGCATAAGCTAGTAGCATTTTTCATCTCACAGCAAATGAAATACAAGGGGAGAAGATCTAATCACCCAGAACAAATACAAACCTAATTCCCATCCCAATGCTTCATGTTTCAGAATATCCACAGAAGATTGATTAGTTTGACATTCTTCTGGTTTGAAATGCTGTTTTCATTCTGGTGTAAGAACTGTTATGTGAAGTTATTTCATTGGTTTATTTGTTGGTTTTACTATCTTTGTTCATTCCCCTCACGGAACAGACAAATCTCTTGTACAAATCTGTTCAGCAAACAGAGCTAAATGTCACCAGTATGACATTGATTGGTTTTTTTTCTAATTTTAACATATGCTACTAAGGTAATCAATTTGCACTGTTACAAATGCAGAAGCAGAAATGTACATTCTCATTCCAAAGCTGGATTAATATTTACTGGTTTGGTGTTTACAGTGTGTGAATTTACCTGATTTTCCCCTCTCTCTATGTAGAAAGGTGTGTGTGTATACACAGACATGCTCTTAAACAATATATTTTTTTCTCCAGAAAGAGTTACATTTAATTTGAATGGTTTTGTTTCCCATTTAGCTTAGCAAAATTGGAAGAAGAATTTGCAAAGAAATTCAACAGCCTTCCTCAATACAGTCCTATTACCTTTGACAGGAAAAATTCATCTGTTTCGAGGAAAAAGCGAAAGATTGGAAGCGGCTCATGTGAACTACCAAAATCCAACAAAGGTAAGTTGCCAAGTGCAGGAGGTTCTTAAACAATGGCATTACTGTAAAAAGCTCAGGAATTTATACATTCTTACTTCACTGTTACCTGTGGAAAGTCTGAAGTTGAAGTATTACCTAGCACTGAAGTTAGTTGGTTCTCATCTGGTTTAGTTTTCAGGCTGATTGTTTTCAATCTTGATTCCTGGTTTTCATGATAAGTAGAACTGGGTAGAGTTTGTACACTAAATGTATTTCTCGTAGCAAGAAAGGTTTTCAAAAGCATGAGTATTTGTGAAGTGAATTTGACAAGTTTTCCCAGGAGAAAATGGGGAAAAAAGGGCATATGATCAAAGGTTACATATTCTAAGCTTAGTTTTAATTTCACTGTAATTTTAGTGTCTGTAAATTAAAACATAAGATATCAGAGATGTTTGAATGAAACATCTGGAATTTTTCTTCTATCAAGATTATAGTTCTGTCGTAAGTTTTGAGCAAAAATGTCCTGATGTGATTAAAAACAAGTTAGAGGACATGAAAACCAATTCCATACCCAGCTCCATTACCATACCATACTCAGCTCCATTGCTGAGGCTCATGGAGGGAGAAACTCATGACACACTTGGCTATTTTTTTAATACAGGAAACTCGTGACACAGAGGTGGTAGAGAAGTGACAATGTGGTAGGGTAAAACTACTTTTATACTGTGGCAGAAATACTGATGCAAATATACAGTATAGAAGCATCACAAAATGAAGGAATTATATACCAGTAATTCCACAAGACAAAGGGATGCTCAAAAGAATCCTCATCAGGCACAGTTTGCAATGTGAAGTTGGTTTTCTTTTCTGCAGCAATGGTAGCTCCACTGAGTGACAGGTTTTAAGATCTAATACGGCTGTTTTAGCCAGGTGACCCTGGATTAGATCTGTGCCTTTTGAATGCTTCACAAATAATCACATTACAGTGTGCAGGATTGAACAGCTGTTCTTTTCTAGTGCATGCCAGTTTTGGTATTGATTTTTGTAATTAGATGTGGAACAGCCACTTTGCAAAATTAGACTTGTGCTAATACCAAGCTAGATCTGACTTCAGCTGCCTTTAATTTTGTTTTATGGTATGTATTTGACAGAACTTCTTAAATGAGCATGAATTAATTACTTTACAGCATGATAACACACTGGTAATTAAGCAACATGTGTTGGGAAGAAAACCTTCTCAACTACAGTGATCTAGCAATTGAAGTTATAGTAGCAGCTCCCTGGATTTCTCACTACAGTATTTACCTGTTCAGGTGTCTGTATATTCAAAAATTCTGCAGGCCCTGTGTTGTTTGGGAATGGTGAGCTAGAATTCTGCCTCAAGCCAGGTAGCCAGAACTGCATTCTGCTTTTGGGTAGGCTCATACCCAAAGGAGAGTTTAGTTTTTATCTTTGTTAGCATCACTTAAAGAGCTTTGGAATATATTCGGCTTTGTCTCAAGGGAAGGTCAAAAACATAACTGCAGGCTGGTTACAAGCCTGATATGAGTAGCTTTGGCACAGCCCTGCAGAGACAGTCATGGAGCATTTGCCTCTGGCTGACAATAAGGGCTCTTTAAATTAAGCCAGCTGACTTTGCACTGAGCAGATGGTAAACAATCATATGAACTTTCCACCAACTGAGCTGTGGGGTTGCAACAAGCAGCCCCAGGGCATGAATATTGGATAGTAACACTGCTCCTTCTGCAGTGAACATCTAACCACAGCCCCAAACTTAAATCCAGACAGAGCTAGTGATACCTGCTCCTAATTCCAGTGAATGTTGAATTACACACTTAAGCTGGGCAAGCTGATGGTTTTGTGGCAGTCATTCCAACTCCCTGAAAAGCAAGATTCAGTCAGTTCTCAATAGGTAGTTGAATAACTTTCCAGCAAACCATTTTTCTTCTGAAAAAGAGGGATTGCTAAAAAGTAAATATTTGATGGCAGTAGGTTAATTTTAAATGTGTTTTATTTTCTTAGGATGTGAGTTTTGGATTTGAAGTTATCTGACCTAAAAGTGAATATAGGCGAGCTTACTAGCTTAGTAAGTTAGGTTTGTTCCTGTTAAGTCAAACATTTATTAAGCTGAATCCTCAATTTAATTTGTGATGTACTGACAGTCTATTGAGCCTCATTGTGCTGTTGTCTGGTGAAGTGTGATGAATATAAAGACTCTTAGAGAACCCTGGTTTCCAAAAGTATAGCACAAGCAGATCTGTGTGCTAGGCTACTACAAGTACTGCAGGAAGTGAAACTGGCATATCATGCAAAATAATAGAGCTTGGTTTAGTGTGGTTATGGGTCTTTTAAATTTTCCTGCTTTTTTACACCATTAGAATTAAACAAAAGTAGCATTTTTATGCAATGAGCATGAACCATGAAGGGTCAGTATAATCTTTTGAGTGTGACTGTGTGTGGATGTGGGAGACCTTAGCTTCGCACTGCTCTGCATTACTGTGTTTTCTGGAGCTGTTTCTGCTGTGAGGCTTTACCCTGGGTGTGTCTCTGCCAGGTAATTAGAAGAGTTGATCAGCAAAAATAGTGTCTACAAGTGTTTTCAGCCTCTGGATGTTTCCAAATAACAGATAAAAATCAGTAGGGATATGTTTAAGTAAACACTCCTTGACATGATATGCTGCTTTTTCTGAAGGAGTGTGTGCAGGATCATAAACTATCTACTCATTTTCACTCAGCACAGGTAACTACTTAATGTTTTGAAGTCTACAGTGTCTACTGAACATGTAAAATTTAGAAAATATGTTGGAGTGCTGCACTATAAGCCTTCCTCAGGATGTTGGGTGAATAAAAACAGAAATGTTTTTGTCTGTTGGGTTTGGGGTGTTTCTCTCACCCCACTCCCAAATGTAACTGGATGCTTTAACTTTTATTTTGTGCTGGATTGATTCTCTCTCAAATGTCATTAGCCTATACCTACAACAGGCGTGATCTGCTACTTAACCAGACAGCCACATTTGTCAGGATGTTTTCCTGCTCTGGAAAATCAGTAGGGCAGTGCCCACTGACTACTTCTGTTGTGCTTGTCATTTCCAGTCCACATTTCATCCAGTTCTTTCACATAAAAACACCTGAGGAATCCTGTAACATGAAAGCTGTTTCACATCCACATGTATGAAGGAAAATTTGAACCTTTTCTTGAATGAGAGGCACTTTTTTCCCCCAGAGTTTCCAAATTGTCTAAATTCTGCTCCCACTGGGCAGAATTCAGATTGGGGGTCTTTCTTCAATGGGAATAGGACTGAACAAGCTATAAAGCTTTGTTAAAATCCACATCAAGTGTTCTGAACTGTGAATGTGCACATACAATAACAATGCCACAAAATGGCTGAAGAATACAGCTATACTGAATCTGTGCAGATGGCCAGCTCCGACATTTACTGGAGCTGTGACTGTTTCCTTTTTTTTTTTTTCCTTTTTTCCAATGGCATATGTGCCAAAACATCCCACCATGCAGAAGTCAGCTGTCTGCAGTGAGTCACTAATATGCTTGTATGCAAAAGTGAGCAACAGGCAGAGTCATTATTTCTGCTTTGTGCTTTGAAGAAATGCTCACTTATACACTACGCATTGCACTAAAGCTTTCATTGTGGGAAGGCAAAGAGGGGAATGCACAGTGTGCTTTTATTTGGGGAAGAGATTGTCTCCTTTTTTTTTTTTTTTTGCTTTTTTGTCTGTGGCCTCTAGGACTAGAAATAAAACATCAGCTTAAAACGGATGCTGCTTTGTGGCATTCCTCTTGGTCTTAGCTCTGGGGTTTTTTTGGCTTGGTTCAAAGCATTCAGATGCTTGGAGATTTTGTGCTGTAATGTTCCAAGGATCATGACCTAAAAATACAGTGCCTTCCTCTGAGAGATGCAGAAATGCACAAACTGTTTGTCCTGATTTTGTTAGGATCTTATTGAAATGTTCTCTATTTGATCAGATCCATTAAAACAGGGAACTTTATGAGAGCAAAGGGGGCCTATGCCCAGAAATTTGGAGGAAGTGCAGTTATGGTTCATTTTCTTGCCTGCTGCTTCCCCAGGCAGCTTCCACTGGCCATAACAAATATTCCCAGGAAGAATCCCCACTGCCCTCAGTGAGCTCTATGGACAAGGCAGGGATTAAATCCTGTGGCAGTTTCTGAAGTGCTAGGGAGAGGAATAACCGTATAGAACATTTCCAACAGTGCAAGATTAGTAGATGTCTGTACAACAATGTCAACTAAACTAAAATGAAAAGGGTTTTTTCAGCCTTCTATAGCAAGGCACATCTAGGGTCCATTGCCTAACAGCAAGACTTTTAGGTTAGTTTTTTCAGTCATGGGTTTTCTCTGGATTGAATGTTCACAAGTGGCATTTGTTCAAAGTCTTGGAATACTTGCCTGTTGTCCCCATGAAACAGGTGTAGCCCAGCCAGGCATTCTGTCAACTCCAGCATGGTGGCTGTTAAGGCAAAGGGTGTGGATGACGTTTCTTGTGGCGTCAGATTTACATTGTTAAGTCCAAGTATGAACTGTTGACTTATTTAGCTATTAGCCAGTCTTCTCTTTCAATGCATTTATGGCCAAAGGGTATTCTAAGTGTCACTGGGCAGGAGCTCACACGAGCTAAAAGGGAAGGAAATAGAAGGTTTCCTTACTGAAGGGCAGATTTTCTTTTGGCTCTGCTAAATTCTTTGGATTTTCCATATGGGAAAATGGCATTTTGCAGATACAGGCTGATGACAAAGGTGCCTTTGATGTCGGGGAAAAAAAAGAGATGAAAGACACAGGTTTCCCCATGTGCAGTGCTTGTCATCTTCTGAGTTTTTCATCTCAGTTATTCTGCTTAGAGTTGCTGACACTGGCTCACTGTCTGTCATAGTGATTGAAGTGGTTTGTATGGTGCAGGTTGAGCTGTAGAAATTGAGACATGGGTGATATGTAATGTATTGCTTCTTCCAAGCACCTGAAAAAGATCACTAATCAGCTAAGTAAAGAATAATAATAACAGAAATGTCAC